ATAACTCTACAGGTTTGTTCTTATTTCAATAAAATCATGTACATGTACACCACTTTTCTGAAATTCGTGTATTTATATTTATCAATGATGTTATAGCTTCTGAAAAAGAATCTGTCAAAATGCTAGAATACTCCTCTTACCGTTTTGATAGGGATTACAAGAAAACTTGACTCAAGTGTAGAAAAAATTAAAATACAGTATTCTGTAATTGTAAAGCTGAAAAGAGTTTTAAAGCAAGGAAATATTTTCGCTTCGTTTTATATAATAAAAACCCACACTTATCATTAGAGTTCCCACCAGTCCAGTTTATATCCTATATTTCTGCTAGTGGGGTACACTCATAATGGTATACTGTTTAATAAATAACAAACCCCCTTATTCAGTATTGATCAATGTTGATGTCCTGTTCATTGGAAACAAACAAAAAGTCACTGTTACCAGCAAAGGTACATTGTTTAAACTTGAAACTTAATTAAATGTTTCATTAGGTATCAGGTAAGCACTGGATAGTTTACATTTAAACTTACAATGCCTTTTGGTTCCTATAATAAAATGACAAAATCTGTACCAGGTGTAATCTAGTAGATGAGTCATCATTATTGGTCAGTGTACCATTATGATATACTTAAGACATGAAATTTATGTGTCATGTATTAATAATTCCTGATCTGATAAATTTCTGTTTATTTCTTACATATAAATCATTGATATAACCTAAGAATATATTAATTGTTATAGTAGAAACAAATATATCATTTTTTCATTCTTAAAATAAATTGATGACTGCTTATCAATGAAATATGTGGAGATAACGAACAGTATTCGAGCTCAAAAGTCCATTAAACATTTCAAAATAAGAGCAGAGCAAAGACGGACCTCTTAGACATCAGAGGTGGGATCAGGTGCCATGGAGGAGTGAGCATCCCCTGGCGACCGGGCACACCCGCCGTGTGCTCCTTGTCATGATCGGGAAATAACGGAAAATCCGTCGACAATTCAGTATGTAAATAATGGCCTAATAAATAGTATGAAAAAGTCAGACAGTATTTGACTTAATGATAGATTGTATTTGCTGACAAGGTCATTGTTTCGACCATAGAACTTACGAATCGATGACTTTAAACGAGACTGCTGATATTCTTGTTTCATCAACTTGTTTGTCAAAAACTCACCTCGTTTTAGAAATTGTTCATACGTAGAGCATGCTCTGGCGTATCGAATCAACTGAGAGATATAAACCCCGTATGCAGGTGATAAGGATATATTGCTACATAAGTAAGAAAAGTTGACGATTGAAAAGTTAAATCATCACGTTTATCATAAAGCTTTGTTGTTAGATTACCATTAACGTCTTTTTCTAATAAGATATCCAAATATGAAACAGATGTGTCAGACTCTGTGTTATCTTTTATCTCAAGCTCACCGGGATATATCGTGTCGACATAAGAATGGAAACAACCATTGTTAATTGACAATACGTCGTCGATATATCTAAATGTCGAGTTGAAGGCCACAGCAAGTGTTTTCTTCTTTTCACGTAAAAGATTTTGAACGAATTCTGCTTCATATGAATACAAAATTAGGTCTGCTAATAACGGGGCGCAATTGGTACCCATGGGAATTCCAATAGATTGTTGCAAGACTTGGTCTCCAAAAACCACATAGATATTGTCAATCAGAAACTCGAGCATCTTTTTAATGTCAACTTCAGAGTACTTGTGTGTACAATCACATAAATTCTTACTTGATTTTATGTTCAAATTATTTTAATTTGATCATTTTCACTTGGAATTTGTTGATGCTCTATGCTCTTCATATTTCACATATACCATCTACGTTTATCTACCCTTAGAAGATTTTCCACCAAAATACAGTTACAACCGTTTTTTAATATACAAGCTACACAAAAGATAGATTAAATATTTCATCTGTTGTATTTTACAATATATTACACTTTTTAAGTAGACCCCCCAAATTCTGTACCTTTCAAGTTCATGTACAGGAAAAAAAATCGAACAGGAAATTTTTTTAAAGACAATTTAGCTTCAGGAAACGGATGTTAAAGGAGATGAATTTATCAACATTTTCAGTCATGTAAAAAAACGATAAAAATATCGCCATGCACCTTCCTTCCGAATAGAAATTCAGATTTCGTCCATACTCACTCTGGGTCTACAAATAGAATTTTGATAATTGTAATACTAACATAGTATGTCAGAATTCTAAAGTTGTTTCTTCATAATATTTTCAAAGTTTAGAGATAAGAATATCCTGTGACACTCAATCAAGATGTTTTAATTTGCACACGTATGAATTGTGTCTTTCTATTGTTTTTCTTATCACATATTAAATTATCAATGCTTTAAATTAGATGACAATGAGACTGTGTTAAAAAAGTATTGAAAGTTTCTCATGGTTTCTCATCAATTCCGGTAAAAAGAAAATTCAGCTGTAAACCATACCACTTCATTCATAAAGAAATTAAAGCACCTTAGAACGAATGTGTATACAATGTCTCTTTTTAAGAGAAATTAAAATCCAATGCGTTTATTAAGCTTTTAAAGATGGTGTGACTTAAATTAGATAAAGTTTATTTAAAAGGCAGCTCTCTTGTAAGAAGTCATTTAGGTACATTTCAAGTTTAGTGGAAATAAACAATAAATAACTGTGTGACGGAGGGGATGGTCCCAGCCAGAAATTTCATTTAACTATAAACTTAGTAGTTTCGCATATACTTTCTATTGCATGCTCCATATTCAATAAATACGTAGTTATGACAAAAGTCAGAAGTTTTTTTTTTTAATTTTTTCTATTCTCTTTTATTTTTATTTTAATGTTGTTGATTTTTTGTAAGAGAGTTGCATGCTATTTAACGAGGATTGTCCCCCCAAAACGCGATATTTTATAAAATACCAAACCAAACTGATTTATGTTTTACACATATTTTGGCTATTTTGACATAGAATTATGATTGGTTGTAATGTCATACGCATATGAAGATAGAACTCAGAGTATGTTAAAACGAAGGTGGACTGCGCATCGTAGTTTTTCACTTTAAAAAGTAGTATTGTCAGTGATGTTTTCTTTCTTTGCAGATTACTAGTATACAAAAGTATAACTTCACTAAATTTATAACGATAAAAACTCTATGATCTGGAGTAATAATGAGTAAAAACTCATTTATTTGACATGAATGGCAATTTTATGATGTTATATGATTTTCCTTTTGATACTGTCAAAAATAGCGACGTCGGTAATATTGCGGTTCACCAAATTTTCATTTAGTACTGTATTGAGCGGGATATGAATCCTGTAAGAAGCTAAGGGAAAAAAGATTAAGCCGATGGTAAGACAAATACACAAGTCTCAGACTCTGTTTTATACCTGGCGAAAGACTGGACAGGCCATCCATGGAAGAGGACGTCATGGCTGTTTAACTTCTGAAGAAGCTGGGATTATGATCGAAATCGGAAAGTTGTCTATTCAAATAATTAATTTAACGATCTTTCGAAAACTCAAGTATGTCAGAGATGGGTACCTCGGTTATTAACTGAAAATCAAACGTAGTATAGAATTTATCAACCGAATTTTTTTTATATTCTATAGAAAAGACACACAATTCCTGAAAAAATCACAAATGCCACGAAAACGTTTTGACGTGGTTGGTGTTGCGCCGACTTCTACTCTGTCAATTTCGTTTAACTCAGAGAAAACTGTTCATTTTTCAATATAATTTCTCTGTAGAGTTATAAAAATTATTGATTATGGTGCATGCTAATTTTGAACCTTATAGCATTAAAATTAGTGAATCAAAAATATTGAAAATGTTAGTTTTATAGTTTTTCTGGATTAACCCTAGTATAAAATAAAAAGGTAAAAAAAACCGTTTCATAGATTATCAGGCTTTTATTAAGCAAGATGTTTTATATTTTTTGTATTAGTGATATGCGACAAATTATTCCTAAAAGCTTAATTTTATCTCCAGTGTGCCTAAAAGATATCTCATAAGTGACAATTAGGACAATTTTATTTTAGTTTTTCTTCTTCAGTGAAATTGTATCTCAGCTGGGAGGAGATTTGTTGGTTTGTTACTTCCTTGTATTCACTAGGAAACGAGAAGTTGAAGAGGAAAATCATATAGATAATGCTGAACCAAAAAAAAAAAAAAAAAAAAAAAAAAAAAAAAAAAAAAAAAAATCATGAATTTATACTTGTAGCCTGCTGTTCAGAAGTATCTATATCTATAAATATTTGTTAAGCCGATCTGCTTTCCAAAAATACTGTACAGCTGTCAGTTAAATAACTCCACGACAAAATTTGATCAGATTCAAAAATACAAAAATATAAATGGAAAGCTTAAAAAAATATCCGAAAACTTCCTTGCATGTACGAGCTACATGTATATCACCAGGTTACTTAATTACCTTTGACGTTAAAACTTATCTAATCTTCATTCAATCCAGGTCTTACATTTCATATTCAAATTTTCATTCATCTGAAAAATCAAAAATATAACATGTATGTTATCCTAATTTAATAAAAATCGGGACATCTTCCAAAAAAAAAATGTTTACTTAGCAGTGCATAGATGACTTTTGGGCATTTTCATAAATTAAAAAAAATCTGAAGTTAAAAAAGGTATCATGTTATTTGTAAAATAAATTATTTTAAACCTATTGTAAGAGATATTCGAGTTAAGTATACATCCAGGAAGGCAGAAAAATAAGAAGGGTGTTAACGTAATCTTTTTTAAGATTCTACAACCGTAATGACAGATTCCCAAAAATAGAAATTCATAAATGACTTGTTTCCACATTATGTCTTAATTACATTATTCAACATGTAGCAATATAACCCAAGCGATACACCAGTCTAAATGTGTACTAGTTCTTTGTAACTTTATTAATGACTCACTCACCCGGAAATGATACTATATACATAAGTACATCACGTGCATGTTTGGTATTTATGTCGCACTCTATTTATCCTTATACATAACAATGAACGTACACACAGACAGGCTTGTCACTCTCATATCTCAGCTACAGTATGAGCTTGACTCAACAAAAAGAAAGCTTCAGTCAGAAAAAGAAGAAAAAGAAAAGGCATTAACAAGGTAAAATCACTTATTTTGCAATATTTTGCCAATATTTTTTAAAGCTGGACTTACCTTAATTTAAAAAGTGAGAAGGGATACTGTACGAGAATAACAAAAGAAAGCGGTGTAAGTAAATTAAAACAAAAAAATGCTTTCATATTTTCAAATAATTTTACAATTACATTAATTTTCAGATTGAGTTTTATAGCTGGATCTAAGCTTACTCATAATAATCCAGCAATCTCTGACCTATCTGATGAAAACAGACCTCAGAAAATTGGTGAAAAGTTCAATGAACTATATGACAATCAATGGACAGATTCAATAGACATTCTCTCTGAAAGCATGGATGAGAAAGAAGCGGTTCTTAAAATTCGAGCAGTACTTGAGGTAACTAAAATTCATTTTTATTATCCGCTTGGAACTCCTGAAATGTTTCATGTATGCTTGCAAAAAAGTCTGAAATGTTCTACCGATAAATTTTTTACACAAATATTGAAAAACTATTGAGATGATTTTTTTTTTTATATCATACCAGTATAGTTTCAACGAAATTTTTTCTCTTTGTTTTCAGTATGTTTACCAGAAAACAAAACGTGCTTCTGAGGACCAGTATCGAAGCTTACAAAACGCACTGTTCCAGGTAATTAACATAATCCAGCAATGTCTTTTTTTTCCCCATTTTAATTGAGAAAGAACAATAATTGGTCCGATGTGCATTGTTTATATTTTCTGTTGTAGAGAGACTTAAGGAATTCGGAGACAAAGAATTTCATTGCAATTTACAAGAAAATTAGTGAACTACAGAAGGACGTGTCCGAGTTGTCAATTAAAAATGCAAAGCAGGTTTGTAGTACTGTAAATTGTATATAAAAAAAGTAAAAACCCTCTAAGCATTTAAAATCAGTTGATCTGGAAACAAATAATAAAAATGTTAGCTATGCATTCAGTAATGAAAAAGTAATATAAGTATCTTTATTTTCAGTTTTTAAGAGAGGATCCAGACTTTATGCTGCCATTTGAAATTGTCATGAATTGTTGTGAGTCATTCGTGGACATGTGTATAGAACTTTGTTGGATGATGCATGTCCAGGATCCGCCAATGGTTTTAGATTTTGGTTCATCGGAAATAGTAGACAAAAACATGTTTAGACTTTTTACTAGAAGTGGTGAGATTGTTGATTTTGTTGTGTGGCCTGCTGTCCTTCTGCACGAAAACGGACCTCTTGTTCAGAAGGGTGTTGTCCAACCCAAGAAAACGTCAAAACAAAGATAGTTTTTGTTGATATTGCAAAGTTATTTTTAAGTAAAATCATGTGCCAAAAACTGTTTATACAACCTTTTAGTTATTTGAATAGTTTTAATTTTACAATATTTTCTTCAGTGCTTTAGCAATTGTTTGGAAATAAAATTTTTCGTCTCGATGACTCTGATTTGTTCTGAGAGGGAAAAACTTAAAAAAAAAACCTGAAAAATAAAATTTAATAAAATTCGGTCATTCGCTAATTCTAATGTATTTCCTTATACATTATGTTTATGAAACACAAGGAAGTACCGCACGCCAGCCATTCTCAGACTGGAAAACATCTAATTGGAAATAGTTATAAAACAACACATACAGGAAAATGGTCATGAATACTATGTAATTCTAAGCTTATTAGCAAAACTTTAAAATTCCAAAAATAACATAACATTTTCCTGTTTGGTCTGTATTTTGAGATCCTCTAAGGCTTATAATTTTAAAAATACTTTTAAACCACTCTTAAGGGCATATAATATAAACACAAATTTTTATCAAAAAAATGTTTATATAAGTAAATCGTATAAGTTTAACCGCATAGATTTTCTTTTTACTTTTAAAATTTAACAATAACTGGATTTAAGGTGACAAAAATTTGAATATTTCAATAAATATTGTTGCAGAAAGGTAGAATTTTGAACATCGTCGAAAGTTCACAATTTCTTAATTGTTTAGAAATTTATTATTCTAACTATTTATAACCAAAGTAAGTCAATTAATATATACCAATCCAGGCATCCATTTTTGTTGGTATCACCTGTCCTTAATATTAGTGTGAAAAGATTAAAAAAAAACATTATTGAGAAATCAATCAAATCGTTTTATATACTGGTATACACACCAGACTGGGTAATTAAAGTAAAATGTAGTATTTATATACTCTCCGCAATACTGTATTGAGTATCAATCTTGTCTCCTTGGCCTGTGAAAACTTTGATGTATAACACTTTTATGTAACAAACATGCCTGAGAAAATTGCAATGTATACATATTTTTTTATGTAACTAACATTTAAATTTATATTTCAGTTTTAAATACAGCAGGATACTGTTAATAAAAGGACAGTAAAACTTTTTACATATGAAACAAGCAGTCAAAAAATTACTATGACATTTATCTTGATTTGGCTTTGTATCTACTGCCATCTGGTAAATATAAACCTTACAATTATACTTCATTATCTTTATTTTGAATTTATAAATTAAATTTATAAACAAATTTTGCATAATGACTAAAACACTGTCAATTTACATGTATTAAGTAGGAACAGATCTAGCTTTTGTGAATTCTTCGATTATCTTGTACTCAAGTATGAATTTCAAGTATTAGTACTAGTAGTATTTTAATTTATTAGGATCCAAGAAGTTTCTAAGTATTAAATTAAACCACCTTTTTACATGAATGGTAAATAAAACAACTTCGATCACACTGTTTTCCTTTGAGCTCTTTAATAATTTACTATTCAAAATTATTTTAATATATTTTACTTTTAATCGATCTAGACCTTAAAAGATTAATTTTATGTTGTTTTACGTCCCATTCGAGAATTTTTCAATCATATAGAGACGTCACAATATACTGGTGAAGGGCTTCAAATTTAGACCATTACTCGGCACTAAGGGCCATTGAGCAGTGAGGGATCTTTATCGTGCCAACGCCTGCCGTGACACGGGGCCTCGGCTTTTAAGGTCTCATCCGAAGGACACACAACTTTCACTTCAAAGTGCCGAGCGCTTGGCGAAGGAACAGTTGCTAACTATTTTTTATCGACTTTGGTCAGTGGCGGCCGAGATACGAACTCACGAACGAGCGCTCTACCGACTGAGCTACCTTTTTGCTTTTTGAAAATTTGCTTTTATTATTGGTGAAATCATCAAAATTTGCATCAGAGAGACTCTTAAGAGCTAGGTTAATAGCGTTATATTTAGTACAGCAATGACCTACAACATGAGAGATATGGGTTCTGTCTTCATGTAAAGAAAGGTAGTAAGCGGTATGGAAATGTTAATTATGATCTCTCATTGGTAACACCGTGTTAAATGTTAATCCTATATGTAATACTATTTTTTTCTGAGAATATTAACCAATGTTAATTAGTTATCGTACTAAAATATGCAATATCTTCTGTATTTACTCATTTTCATTAGACAAAATAAACTTTGATATTATATAAATGGTCAAGGTCAAAAAGGACATTAACTTCCGTGATACTAGAGATTTGAAAGTTTGCAAAACAACCACTTTGTTTTAATCTGGCCTCAGGTCACTATTTATTTCTTTTTCACGGTTCAAGCCTTTAAAGATATTGGATATATATATAGAAAGAGAGAAATGGAATACGATTCAGTGTAAATAGAGCTGAATACGATTGGTAAAAGGGGGGTTTATCCTTGTCCGTCATACTTTTCCTCGTTGCCTCATTTCTGGAGTCCCTGGCTAAGTCTATTTCCACTTCACCAAGCATACGTTGGTAAATAGGTTTCAGGCTTGGGCCACGCCAATCACCGAAAGGAAATAATTTAATAATACGATGAGGCCTCTTCTCAAAAACCACATGGCCAGAAAAAAAACATATACTTTTAAAAAGCATCTTTACTGAGTTAAAATTTCAGTTTGTTCAAATCAATGCCCCCACCGTGGATAGGCCAGAGCAACAATGAGGGTTAAATGTTTTACATGGGATCATACAAGAAGCAATCTTTAAAAAAATCTTCTAACTAATAGCTTAACTTCATTAAGTCATATTAATATACAAGAAACACATTTAGCGAATATTTCATCTTTCTTAATCATGACCCCTATGGCTAGGGCGAGTAGTCGCTAGAGGGTCAATGTTTGACAGTAAATCAAATTCGATATATACATGAAGTTCTTCAAGAAAAAATGTCTTTCGAGACCATAGATATGCCTGATTGATCAGGCTTACCGAAGGCGTGTATGAAAAAACATATATTAGTACGCAAGCATCACCATGTAGTCAAAAGTTAAATATAAGCATGTCGCCAACTGATGCTAGGCTAGCATCATAATGAAAAGGGCGAAGATAACGAACACTGATCGATCTCAAAAAATATATAAACAATACAATTCTGTGAAGAGGGTATAAAACACGAACCCCTGGAATTCCAGAGGTGGGATCAGGTGCATCGGAGGAGTAAGCATCCCCTGTTGACCGGTCACACCCGCCGTAAGCCCTATGTATTGGTCAGGTATACTGAACATTCCGTAGTCGATTAAACTTTGAAGGGAATATATGATAGACGACTTCTAAAAATCTTCGTCTGAAGAATAGCAAATCCACATTTAGTCCTATTGAAATACCAGCATCATTATGCAATGTAGTTTTAAGTTCAAATTATTTATTGCTTACAAGAGTAAGGCTAACTACACATTTTACACAATTCTGATAAAGACTATGAATGTTCCCCTTGAATATCTTGAAAATCAATGTATGTCACATCACATGCACTGAACAATACACAAAAAGTTTTTATATAAATAGGTAAATAGTGATTGAATTAAAAAAAATCCACAAATATTACAAATCTGGTGTTATACATGTGACGAACAAAGAAGTAAGAATGTTATTTTATTATCAAAACATAAGTTGTTTATGAATAGTTTCCAGTGATATGATAAACGTATTTCCTTTTATATAACATGGAGTATTTACGTACTCAAATCTTTAGCTAATTTGACCTTTCATATTTATTTACAAAAAATATCTTATTGGCCTTCAGAACAGCAAACATTAATAAGTTATCACCTTATAAAAATTGAATAATATTTTGTATTATTTAAAATTGTTTACGGGTACATTTTCTGGTAAGAACTAGAAAAGTCAGCATTATATAACATTCAAAATTCTAGATTTTACTGGTTCCCACGTCACGTGGTTAAAAATATGTATATAAACACGGCGAGTGTAAATGGTTACGCTAATCGAAATACAAAATTTACAATGGGCTGCAACGCAGCAAACCTTGTCACAATTATTTCCCAGCTTCAATATGAACTGGAAGTCGCTAAACGGCGATTGCAGGTGGAAAAATCGGAAAAAGAACAAGCTTTGACCAGGTACTTCCTTTTTAATGTTATCTAATATGAGCTCGAGTTATCTCCTTTTCATTGTAAATCGTTTATTCATTTTGAAGCATGATAATCATCACATCGAGAGAAATCGAATGTAGTCTTTAAATTAAACTTGTTCATTCTATTGTCTTTACAGGCTAAGTTCAATAGCTGGATCTAAACTTGCATATAATAACCCAGGCATAACCGATCTATCAGACAAGAACAGGCCACAAAAGCTAGGAGAGAAGTTCAGTGAACTCTATGACAATGAATGGACAGATGCCATAGATTCTCTCACAGAAACTATGGAAGAAAAGAAGGCCATTTTAATGCTACGAAACGCTCTCAGATATGTGTACGAAAAAACGAAGAAAGCGTCTGAGGACCAGTACCGGAATCTTCAAATGGCTTTGTTCCAGGTGATTTTTTTTCTGTCTAATATGTAAATGTCTGTTTAAAAAAGGACACGCTATGAAATTAGATGAAGAATCGTGTTGTATTATTTCCAATTGAAAGACTTTGTCTAATTGGATTTGATTTTTGAGAGTTTTTAAAATCATTTGTTTAAAATTCAAATCATTTTATTTTAGAGAGATCTAAGAAATTCTGAGGCACAAAGTTTCATACAAATCTACAGAAAAATCACTGAACTACAGAAAGAGGTTTCAACGCTCTCCATCAGTAATACCAAGCAGGTAAAATCATACTTTCTCTATTTCATAAACAGATACTGTTATAGTTCTATCCCTTCCTATACCCAATATGGCATAAAATATTATTCAACTTATTTTTATGTACATAACTTTTTTATTGTCTAAAAAGAAATATATTGATAACAAAATAATGAAAACCTAATTTCAGTTTGCCTTTATTATTATGGCAAACATATCTATTAATGAAAATCTAAATTCTGTTTACCCTTATTGTCATGACGAACATATATATTGATGAAAATCTAAATTCTGTTTGCCCTTATTACAGTATTATGACAAACATATCTATTAACTCTGTGTTCCAATTTCAGTTTTTAAGAGACGATTCGAACTTCATGCTGCCGTATGAAATCGTTATGAACTGCTGTGAACTATTTGTTGATAAATGTGTGGAACTTTGCTGGATGATGCATATTCAGGATCCACCTATGGTTTTAGATTTTGGATCTTCAGATATCGTAGACAAAAACATGTTTAGACTTTTTACTAGAAGTGGCGACGTCGTTGACTTTGTTGTGTGGCCTGCTGTCTTACTGCACGAAAACGGGCCTCTGGTTCAAAAGGGTGTTGTCCAACCCATAAAGACAAAATCAAAAACTAATGGAAAAGACCGTTGATAATCTCAAAAAATATCAATAATATTGCTTATCCCTTGTGGAATAAGTACATTTTCATGCAATATGATGTCTCAACGACCTTGAATTCGAGGAGATCAATTCACTGTGAGTGACGATAAGAGTGTGGACATGGCATTATATACTGTGCATTGTAGAATGACCAATGTTGAGGGAAAAAGCACAATTAAGTCTATACTCTCTAATATTCAAAAGCAAAATATGAATATTTGAAGTTTTTAAATGTGCCAAAAGTTTCTATTTATTCCTTTGTTTTTATACATGTTCTGTTTTATCTTTCTATTTTTACAAATAAAAATAGTTTGGAAAAACAACAACACTTTTTTTCTTTGTGGATTGATGAATAATTTCCAACTTATTTTAAACTAGTACATTGAAATACATGTAAGGAATGAACAACCTAATTAATTAATTTTTATTTAGTTTGCAGTTTAAGTTTATATGAAACAATTATGTTAATTACGGGTATGTTACATGTACGTCAATAAAATATAAAACAATAGAATTATGATTTTTTGGATGAAAAAAGTACTCTGATCTATTAAATAAAAAAGGTGAGGGTAATTAACCGTAATGGATCTCATAAATTCTTAAACAATACGAATTGTGAACTGAGCCCCTAGAAAAACAGAGGCGGGATCAGGTGCCTCTGAGAAGTAAGCAACCCCTGTCGATCGGTCTCAGCCTTGTGAATTGATCAGGAAAACGGTATCTGTCGTCAAAAATTGTGTGAGTGGAAAGGGCTTATTGGATGAAACGTCAGTCTAAATACGACCCAAATAGGTTCTACATGCAAAGTTAAAAATATATCGAAATGGTGACTTTTAAGAAGATTGGTGAGGTTGTACATCAACTTATTTGTCAGTAGTGCCTCGATTTAGAAATAAATCATTCTCAGTACATGTCCTTGAATCGGTGGGGAGACAAAACACCATATTCAAATGATATTGGGATTTCACTGCAAAAATAGGGGAAGATGACGATGGAAAAGCTGGTCATCACGTTTGTCATATAGTTTTGTTATTAGATGGCCGTTAACCCTTTTGTCAAACATCCAAATATGAAACAAATATGGCAGACTCTTTTGGTGTCTTTTATTTCGAGTTCTTTGAGAAATGTCGAGTCGACATATGAATGAAAATAGCTATTTTAAATTAATAAAACGCCGTTGTTATCTATAATTATGTCGAATTGAATGACACAGCGAGAGTTTTCTTCTCAAACAGAAGTTTTTTTTTTTTTTTTTTTTTTTTTTTTTTTTAATTTTTTTTTTTTTTTTTTTTTTTTAAATAAATTCTGCTTCATAATAATTTTATTTAAAGGGTTGGCTAACAAAATAACACAAAATAACTGCCCAAAAAGTTTCAACAGATAGTTGGAAGACCTTGTGTCGAAGAACAACATAGATATTGTGAATTAAATACTTCAGCATCTTGTTGATATCAACTTTAGTGTGCTTGTGCGTAGAATCAGCATTATTTTAACAAAGTAACTTTGTAAATGACCAATTACAAGGAATGAAAATTTTCGAGTTCCATTTTTCTTGAATGTTGTCTAATTACCTGGAAAAAATTGTGATTTCAGGTATAATTTCAGATTCAAAATAATTATGACAAGTTAGGGTATCTTTAATATGTATATATACAATGACTTCTCTTTTTTCATAAGAGAAGGAGTTTGAACAAAAGTGTGTATCTGATCTAGTAAAAAATGCAAAACATTTTCTGCATCTGTTACCAAATAGGTATGGTCGAGGAATCAGCTTTTTTTCTATGTACACTCTACGTCCCTGAAATATACAGTTACAGTAGTTTGGGCTTTATTGACCATAGATATCGACCGGATAGCACTGGTTACTGAGTAGCAATCTAGAAGTCCCAGACTAAACATTTTCTATCTTCCTTTTACGCAGCGATGGCTATTTAAGAATCCGGTCAATTTTTTTGGATAAGGGGAGGGAGTGTATGAGAGTTTCTAAAAAGTTTTAAGTTGAATTGATTTAACCGTATATGTATTGATCAATCTATCAAACTGGGACAAACATATAACTTATCAAACTATTGCAAAGAAAATACATCAGAAATGATGCATTGTTTGTGATGAAAATTTCTTAATGGCCTACAGATCTCAATGAAAATTGAAATTATTAGTGAACAACAGAAATTATATAAGTGACATATGCACAGAAGAGAAGAGACAATGAATGACATTCGCACTTTACACTAAATCAGCTTAGTTGGTACAGCAAACATAAAACTTAATCATATAAGATATCCGTTCGGTCATTACACATGTTTTTATTCGATGATACACACTCAATGTGTGTTGTGTGTGATCAGTATGAATCTGTAACTTCATTGATAAAGATTGATTACTGTTTGATAATGTAGCAAAGTAGTTCATATACAATAGATGCAATAAAATTAATCCTTTCTGTATATTATAGTAGTAAAAAATTATATAAATATATACATGAATTCATAAATGAAACAAATCTGACGAAATATTCAGAACAATATTTCTTCATAAAAAATCTGGCACCCATGCATCACAGATCATGTGCATATTAGTCTACACTTATCAATATACATGTATGATAGGAGAACTCCTGCATAGTTACAGTAGGATTCAAAAATATATATTACATTTTAAATCTTGATATATATGACATCATTTGTATTGAAAAAAAAACACGTCAAAGTTTTGAATAAATATGCCTGTCTGTTTATGGTTCGATTATGTTATGACTACATATACAAAGGCTTTTAAACATGATAATTTAGGTGTGCGTCACTTTACGCATGATAAGTGTATATAAAGGGAATAGTCCGTCGATCAGCGAACGATATTTTAATCTAAAGATTCACGATGACTGACGTAAATGATTTAATTCTTCTCATATCGAGACTACAAGGAGATCTAGACGAAACTCAACGCAGACTAAAAGCTGAGACATTGGAAAAAGAAAGGGCCCTCACGAGGTATTTATCTTTATGAATGTATGAAAAAAAAATATCTATTTTAAAAAAGATACATGGTATACATTTGAGAAAAACTACTTTTTCTTGTCCTTTAAACCTTTGAGTCAAATATTGTTATTAAAATACAGTTTTACTAAAACAATATTAAATTCATTTGTAATACAAGTATCAAGACTCTAGTGCATATTTTCATCATTTTCTGAATTAATTAATGTTAACAAATCCTGATTATATGTACATAAATGTTAACAGATGTTCAAGACCAATTTGTAATATAATGTTCGTGAAATGTCGGTGTTGCAGGCTCAGTTCAATAGCTGGAACAAAACTTACATATAACAATCCTGGTATCACCGATCTCTCAGACAAGAACAGACCACAGAAAATTGGTGAAAATTTCAATGAACTCTACGACAATGAGTGGACAGAGGCTGTTGACCAGCTATCGGGGGATCACGGAGAGGAGGGTGCGGTACAAATGCTCAGGGAGGCTCTTAAGGTAAGGAATCTGTTCAAATTTTTATCTTATAAAACTAAAACTGAAATATCTTAAATTTTTTAACTTCAAATCTTCGCATTCTCTTGGTCGTTTCAAATCTAACCAATCCTAAATTCGGTTATATGATATGTTTTCAAAACAACTCTGTATTATAAATTTTTGTAACATATCATTTGCATTGCGAATTGTTTTGCTGCACTCCAGTTTACGCCTGTGCACTTAATGACGTTGTGTTTATTGTAGTTCATTGCCAACAAAACAAAGAGCTCAGCTGACAAACAGTACAAGAATTTACAAGAGGCGTTGTTTCAGGTATGAATGTTCAGTCATTCATATATTATACATATGTCTGCTATCTAAATAAATTTAAAGGTTTTTCGAGTTTTAAAACAAATCTAATTTTTTTTTAATTACGTTTAAACCCTTTTATAAATTAACTTCGTTAGAGGCAAAGAGAAATATCATTAATGTCCATAGGAGAACACAAATACATATAAATTCACTCTCATGAACTACATATCTAAATATAGGATCTATTTAGTTAATCAAACAAACAATTTAGTATCACGTACAAACTATATCTGTAAAATATTTTATGTAACACATTATAGAGAGATTTGAGAGAATCCGAGGCTGGAAATTTTATGACAATCTACAAGAAAATCAGCGACCTACAAAAGGATGTCTCCAGTATCTCAATGGCTAATGCTAAAAAGGTATTGAGGCCTCCCTAATCACAATAAAGCAGCTATAACTGCAAATTTTATTTTATAAGAATACATTCAAATACTTAAGTTCACCTAGTGCATTTAATAAAATAAATATATATTTTTTTCAGTTTCTGAAGGAGGATACAAAATTTGTTTCAAAGTATAAAGACGTGTTATTTGGTTGTGAAACATTTGTGGATAGATGTGTGGAACTGTGCTGGATGATGCATATCCAGGACCCGCCTATGTACTTAGAATTTGAATCTCCAAACGTCATTGACAAAAACATGTTCAGATTGTTTACAAGAAGTGGAGAACGTCCTGATTACGTGGTTTGGCCCGCGTTATTATTACATGAAAATGGACCTCTTGTTCAAAAGGGTGTAGTCCAACCTGTTAAATCGAATACCGGTGGCAAAAAATCAACACCCACAAAACCAGAAAGAACGATAAATAAGTGAAAATTTAATATCTGAAAATCCATTAAGCATTAACACAACTTAGATATATTGTGTGACATTTCAAGGGTACCGGTTGAAATCGGGTACACGGCGCTTAGATTGTGAATGCGTTAGCCTAAACTACCCAGAACAATATTATATAAACCACCATCAACCCAGTCTGAATTGGAAGCTAGTCATTTTATTTTATAATGACCTTGAAGGGCAATATTTGATAAGTTTTGATTGTTCTTTCCTTCAAATAAACGAAAACATGTGTTCATTTTATATATAAAATTGTTTGGATTTACACATAAATTTTATTACTTATTTACTCATCTTCATTTTATTATAATTAATTTTGGGTAACCGCTCTTGAACATCTATATAGAATTTATCTAGTGCTGAATTGAACACTTTAAATAAAACAGTATTGAACACTTTAAATAAAACAGCTCGTACCACGTCCTCTTTAGTATAAGAGTTTTGCGTCATTTAGCTATTAATTTCCTTATTGATTGTCGAACTTTACCAAATTTTTTACCATGATTACCAAATATCAACCACATTTTTAAGTTCCTTCGAAACATTTATCTAACATTTACATTTACACCACATCACGCATTCAAGACTGATATGTTTGTCCTGCTTTGTGAAACCAAAAACAGAGGATAATTTAACCAAATCCAAATGAATTTCTGCTAATATATCAGCATATTATAAAACTTAAAGAAATCGTATCTTAGAGTAAATTAAAGAGTGTTGCGGCAAGAGATGGCATATATATATATATATATATATATATATATATATATATATATATATATATATATATATAGATATATATATAAAACTTAAAATATAAACTTATACATGTACGTAAGTTTATTAATTGAAAAGTGGGATAGACTAAAATGACATAAAATATGTAATCTATGTAGTTCATGAGAAGAGGACTCTTTTAAAAGAAATATAACATATATTACCCATTTTTATCACTCAGGTACTACATGAATAACTAGTAAAGGTTATAGTCAATGAACTGTTGCTACATGTTTATATCTTAAAGATGGAAATACTTTTATATACATGTATGTTGACTTTGCAAATAATAATGATAAGTGCATTTCACAAAACTAATACCCCTGGTAAATGTCCATTTATAGTAGATTGATTAATTATTTGATTGATTGTGTGCTGTTTAACATCCCATATGAAAATTTTTCACTCATCTGGTTTAAGTAAAGTGCCACAAATGTTCAGCTTTACATGATGCTTACGGTCATAGCAGTGAGGGATCTTTACGTGCTATCGTCTACCGTAAAATGGGACCTCGGTTCTTGAGGTTTTATTGGGAAAGACCCGTGACTTTCACTTCTATATCGAGGGCTTGGCGAAGGAGCAGTCACTACCTATATGTTAAACTTCTCAAGTTTGACGCGGAGCGAGAATATAACCCTGGCCTCTAAAGCACTGTTAAAGCTGCAAAACGGGGAGAGGGCCTAATTTATACGGGAAATGTTTACTGTGACATTACAAAAATATATCAAAATATAATACAAATATCACACAAAAATTACCAATTCCTCATAATACCGGAATATGAAATAATATGCGATTTTAAGATGTAAATACTACCTAATAATATTAAACGCTTATGTTTGACGCGGTGCCGGGAACAAGAATCGAACCCGAAACATCCAGATCACGAGGCGAACGCACTACCATTAGGTCATTTTTGTTTATTGAATTGATTTGAAGGAATATTTTACGACAACACGTACCAGGCAAGGTTTTATAAAAAGGAAATCTGTTAACAAAGCTTTACCACAATTATGTTTTCAGGCTGCGTATAACATTGTTATTGTACTTTAACTATTTATTGTAGTGTATTTAACTTTTTTTCAGTTTCTGGGGACAGACATGAAATCTGTGTCACAGTATAAAGACTTGCTATTTAGTTGTGAAGCTTAATTGATTGATTGGTTGTATGTTATTTTACATTTTCACTCATATAGAGACGTCACCATAAACTGGTGAAGGGCTTCAAATTTAGACCTTTACTCGGCACTCAGGGCCATTGAGCAATAAGGGTTCCCTAACGTGCCAACGCCTACCGTGACACGGGGCCTCGGTTTTTAAGGTCTCACCCGAAGGACCCGCTACTTTCACTTCAAATTAAAATGCCGAGCACTTGGCGAGGAACAGTTGCTACCTATTTTTTAATCGACTTATGTCAGTCGCGGCCCTGATTCGAACGCACGACCTTCCAATCACGGATCGAGCGCTCGAACGACTTGTGAAGCTTGTAGTACTGTGTTGGATGATGCCTATCCAGGACCGACCCATATACTTGGAATTTTAATCCCCTAATGTCGTTGACAAAAATTTTCACACTGTTTGCAAGAAGTAAAATCATCACTTTATTTTGGCCCACACTTTTCTTTCATGAAAATTAACCTCTTGTTCAAAAGTTGTAGTCAAAGCTATTAGATTAAACGCTGTATGTAAAAATTCAACACCAAAAACCAGAAAGAACCATAAATAAGTGAAAAGTTGCAAAAATGAAAATATTTGATTTAAAAAAAAATGTCATTAAGAACAGCAACAATATGATACCGTAAAAACTATTTTTATGAAATAAAAGAAAAGAAAATTTTTAACAGCATCAATGCAATATACAGGTCTTGTCCGAAGAGAAGCGGTTAAAATCGAGGGACACGGTGCATAAATTGAGATAGCACTAACCCAAATATCTGGAAAAGCAAGACACGACACCATGATATTATTTTTTTCTCTTTTTATCTTTGCAAATACTTAATAATTGATTTTCAGTCCTCATTCTTTAGCCAGTGTCGTATTTAATGCTTTAAATCAAAGTACAAATGCAATATTAATGTAGTAGTTGGTGACCTGTTCCTTTAGAGTGAGGGTTTTGTGCGTGTCATTCCGCTAAATTTATTTTCCTACATATACTGAATATTGCACCTTGTGCAATCAGATAAAAGTAATCTTACGTCATATTTCAACCTGTCATTTACCATTTAAATCTTGGCCATTTGCGTTTAATTCGTATTAGGTACTCACTGGAGTTTAAATGTTTGTCCTACAATATGAACCTAGAAGTCAGGGATGTCATTGACATTCTGCTAAGATAACAATTAATTCCCATATTCTAAAATGAGCATCAAACTGATATCTACAGGAAACATGGGTATTGCTGGTGGGAAAAGGTAACTGCAAATTAAACATTGTATAGAAAAATAAAAATAAATGTGTAGTACATGCATTCTGATGATAAAAAAATTATCGCATTTCATCAATAAAGAAAGACATGAAATAACAAATATCAAATATTTTTAAAATTTCCTTGTTTTTTTTTTTAAGAATTTGCAAATTGCAATGGAAAGTTCACAAGTCTCACAAAACACTGAAAAAATAAAGACTTTTAGCAGATCTGACCAATTGCCCAGATGCGATATCAAAGCCCGTTTTGTATATTATACCTAATATCGGATAAAAGTATAAAGTGCAAAAAGATGAGAAGAATATTTTTAGTATCAATTGAGCAATTAAGGACTTTTATAACCCTTTTCTGCTATAAAATCAGTTCGTACCAGATATATGCATTATGGTTAATTTAGAGTTCATAAGCTTTATAACTTTCTAACAATTTTAAGCTTAGCTTAATTTTACTTTCTAAACTATGATTTCAGGAATTATACAATATTGTTATATTGTAGCATATATATAATTAATTAATTATTGAAGTGTATTGTACAGATTTTTAGTTTCTGAAGAACAGTTCAAAATTTGTCTCAAACTATAAAGATGTGATATTGAGTTGTGAAGTTGAGAGGTGTATAATTGTTGGTCATTTTATATACTAGCCCATTCATACACTCACAATTTCAATCTGATCAAAGGCATTGACAAAAGCAGACATGTTCACACCTTTTTCAAGAGTTGGAGAACTTACTTGTTACGTGGTGTGGTCCGTGCTGTTTTTGCATGAAAAAGACATTTTGTTTTAAATGGTGTTGTCTAAATTGCTACGTCAAACTCTGATGGTATTATCTCGCTTAATTACAAGAAAGAAGAGGATGATGCATACATGTACATTTGTAAATGAAGGATTGTGAAGATTCCAATTATTCAGTTTATTCTCGTCGTATCCTTGGCATCACGTACAGCATAATCTAGTGATCTAACACTTGCCCGCTTTTGGAATCACTTATCTAGTTGAAATTGCTGAGAAAAAGCAGCATTTTGATACAGTATTTTTTATTGTTTTAAATTCTTACAATCTAAGTAATTTGTTGATGAGATCTAAGGAGCACAAAATTAAACATCTTGGGAAGCAAGATTCCTATTTACCTCACCATATATTCCTGTATCACTGATATTGTTATTCTGATATCAGTTTGATTAATATTCTGAGATCATTAAATTGATAAAATCCAAAAACAAATAGTGTTTATTTATGAATAAAACAAATTATAACAAAGCTCACTACGTCTTAGGGTGTGTGTGTGTGTGTGTGTGATTTCTTGTATTTTATTTATATACCATTGCCTCATATCTAAGCCTTAATGAGTCATGCCTATTTTTTGACTCTCAATATCTCGGTGATAAAAGCAAGGGACATTAAACAAAATTGCTTATCTCTAAGAAATATGAAGCAGTTACTGCGCTTATAATAACACAATCAGAACAAAAACCAACAGGAACTAGCTTAAATATATACAAAAAGTGGGTTTCGCTAATTTATTCCAATACAAAGACGTAAATGACATTTCTTCGCTAATTATATGTGTTGAAGATTTCTATACTGTATTCCTTCATATCTTTTAATTACTATTAAGATTATTGCCATAAATCTAATTAGTCTATCTGATCAATACATAGGGCTCACGGCGGGTGTGACCGATCGACAGGGGATGCTTACTACTCCTGTTCACAGATTTGTATTGTTTGAACTTTTTCTTTCTTTTTTTTCTCTTTTTTTGAGATTCATCACAGTCGAATATATATATATATATATATATATATATATATATATATATATATATATATATATATATATATATATATATATATATATATATATATATATCGATATTTAGAAAGTATGCTGGTTTTGTCAAGAAATTAATTTTCCATATAGACATCTGTATCAACATTAGACATGCCCATTAAGGAAAGGAATTCACGCAATGTGCATGGACTGCAAAAACTGTTGTAATCCACTAGGAGTTACAATATACCTTGTTTATACTGAAAGAATTAATTTACAGAGATTTATACAATGTTTATTATCATGAGTGTATATTTCACCACCTGGAAAAGAAGCTCTGTAATTCATTCAACCTGTAATCGAAATACAACGTTAAGACTTTCAAAATTAAATTCTAAAGTGTGGAGATGTCTGGTCAACAGTACAGAATAACAAGATGCCGCCCAAGATGAAAAAGAAAACATGGAAATATTCTAAAAGAAAGGCCGATTTTAAATTCGTGAAGTCTAAAATATGTGAAATAGAATTAACAAATATGCAAAACAGTCAAGCATTCTACACATAAGGTGTATTTTGTTGAAAAAAGCTGCCCTTTTTTCTATTAAATCTATTTAAATGTTATTTTCTGACTGGAATCGGGTAATTCTATTTAAAACCTATTTAAAATCATGTGGGTTTTGAAATCACCGATGGGTTTAAAAGTTCGCATACTTAAATTGTAAAATGGCAACAACATCACATATATAGCATGATATACTAGTAGTATATATGGAAGGGGGGTCATGCACCTTTTATTTGTACTATAGCTGTTGCGCTATACAATATATAATATTAGAATTGTAGATAATTTAAATACATTTTTTTAAAAAAACGATAAATTCATGGTGCATCAGTAAAATGCCGCACCTTGCGATACAGAACACAATCCAAAAGTAGCAATTACAGGTGCCATAAGTCGCATATATAGCAACCACGCTCGCGCTGTTATCAGAAACCTTATTGAATCAAATATTTTAATGATCTTGTGAAATATTACAGACATGGGAAATCATTAACGATTAAAATATCCTATCAGTTTTGATACAAATAATTTTGCGTAATTTGTGTATAACATAGTAAATGCAAATATAGTTACTGTAAGGTCCAGTAACATACATTAAATATGTAGGTGTAACTAAGACAGTTAATGGATTGCTCCATATACGTGTTCAACTAACAAAACAACTCTAGTACATAAAAACTTACTAAACTTTAATAATTATGTCTTAATCAAATATACTACCATGCCTAAACGTTTAATTGACGTATACTGCCTCTTTGATGTAAACCTAAACCAATATAGTAGCGGGTGTTTCAATTCGCACGTGCACTTTACAAGCAGTGATATACATGTTGGTGGATACATATATATATATATATATATATATATATATATATATATATATATATATATATATATATATATATATATATATATATATATACGTGTTGTATCTGCAATTCTACGATGAAAATAAATGCATACTTATAAGCACTATTTCTATATCATTAAGATTAGAACAAACAAAATCACACATAAGGTCTCACAATTACATTCTAATGCGCGCATGTTTAAATCAAAATGAAAATGACTTCAATTTATTAGGTACTTGGGGAAATAAAAACTTTCTATTGTACTATTTTTTAATTATCCTTATTTATCGCATATCAGAATTTTGACTTTGGGTTTTCCCTACTAGATAGATCCTTAAAAAATTAGATCCGCGAATCTTCTATCAAACATATCACGTTTAAACTGATAAAGCTTGTACACGGTTTGTCTCGTTGATTATCGCTCTTTGTAAAAACCCGACACATCAAAACGAAAGTAGATTTTAACTTTTAACAAGGTTTGAGGATTTTGCTCTTTGTAAATTTTCTTGTGCTCCCATTTGTATAAGTATTGAGTTTTTATTTCATCTTTTACAATTTTCAAATATATGGGAGGATGTAAATGTTAGGCACGTGGTAGTGAAGGGGGCTCGAGCACCCCGAATCAGTAATTTTGCCAGTATATACTTTACTTCACAGACACAAAGTAATTCAGGTGTGTTCCCCCTGGAGAATGTGTGACAATGATGACATTTTTATGCCCCCGTAATCTTAGCTTAGGGGCATTTAGCTTTTGTACTGTCTGTCTGTCTGTTTGTCTATAAAAACTCTAACCTTGCCCTTAACTTTTGATTGGTCAAAGCTATGTCTTTCATATTTTCACACATATATCCCTTTATCCCTTGTGATAAGACCTTTCTTTTGGTACCAACATATTTGACCTCTTGACCTTAGAGTTTGACCCACTTTTTGCAAAATTTTACCCAAACTTTAACCTTGGCCATAACTTTTGAACATTGGTGCTAGGGCTGTCATACATGTACCTAACATCTGTATTCCTTGTGAGAAGATCTTGCCTTGGGTACAAATATTTTTAACCTTTTGACCTTAGAGTTTAACCCACCTTTAAAGACTTGAACCTTGGCCATAACTCTTGAACGGTTTGTATTGGGTCATTCATGCTTCACAGATTTATTCCTTGTGACAAGACTTCTCTTTGGATACCAACAATTTTGACTGTTTGACCTTGACCTTGGAATCGGACCTCTTTTTAAAAACATTCAATTTGTTCGTGACCTTATGTATTTCATGGGACAAGACTTTTCCTTGGGCACCATTAATTTTGACTATTTGACCTTGACATTTGATCTACTTTGGAAAAACTTTAACCATTGCCATAACTTTTCAGAAGTTGATGCTGGAGCTTTCATATTTCACAGGTGTATTCCTCAAGACAAGGCCTTGTTTTGGATACCAACATTTTTGATCTCTTTGACCTTGGATTTTGATTTGCATTTGAGAAATTTAACCTTTAATTGCCATAAGCTGCCGTATAGGGGAATCAGTGTTTCACAATCACATCTTGTTTAATCTACAATTTTAGAAAGCGATGTACATTGAATTGTTAGTGTATGCATACAGCTGTATATGTAAAATCTCACAAATACTGTAACTTTTATGTAGATTTGAAAAATCCATTATCTGGTACTGGAACCTCCGCACACACCTTGCCGCTCACTGCCATATTTGCCAAAATGTAAGTATAAGGTTTTATCTAATTTTAAGATGTCACTATAAAATCCTTTCATTCTCACATTCTCTCTCTTTCTCCTCGTTGTTGTGACATTTTTAAAATTTGATTTGTTGTCCATAGGTTTTAATACCATGTCAAGGCATCCGTATCACCTCATCCCAACAGAAGAACCGACAGAAAGTTTAAATCCTGGGGATTGCATTATTCAAATAAATGACAATATGTCAGAAATGAAAAAATCTAATCCAAAGTACTTTCTTGATTGTTGTCGTTGCTGTTACACAATGTTCTGTTACAATGTTTTTGTGGATTGGTGTTTTGCAAGTGTAAATGCAGTTTATGGATGTATTTGCTCAAAATGTTCCCAATCGAAGGAGAGCAAGTAAGTGTCTCGAACTCGCAACACGTAAAGAATATATATTTTTTTAAATATTCACATTTTGTGTGAAATAATGATGTACTAATCATACTACAGTACATAATGCACCCACAAATTATTAGCGATTCTCTGTAACCACTTAAACTTCTTTGCCACGCATGGTCACCGATTTTGATGAAACTTTGCCCATTATTACAACTTGACACCAGAAACATATATAAAATAAAATTTCGTTGCTATGTGTCTTGGTTGCCATGGTAACAGCCAGAAAAGTTGAAAAAATTGAGATTTTCAGCTACTTTAAATCTTTATTAAGCCTTAATAAAGACTAAGAAAAACAAACAAACCATTCTCCCAAAAACATGACACCTTGTTGCCACTTATGCTATAAAGAAACTATTTAGAATTTATCTCTAAGTAAGTGGTAACCATGGGTACATTTGGAATACATTTTAGATGCTGAAAAACGCTCTATAGTCACAAATGATAGATGTTACATGATCAAACTCAATCAACAACGTAAGAAAAACAATGAAAAATATTTGACCTCATGTAATTAGGTATTGGCAATATTATTCTAAAAATAACTTTCATGGTTGCCATGGTAACACAGTGTCACCATGCAAAATCTGTTGCTATGATTGGGTTAATGCTACTATCGTGAGGAAAAACAATAAAATTCACGACTGGCACATATGCATCTTTAGGACCTTGCAACACCGACAACATAAGAAAAATTGAGATTAATTGTTACTTTGCAGTGTAACCATGGAAACAACGTACTAGTTGTTTAAAGTGATATTTTTTGCTGCTTTAGGAATTTACTAACCTTTTAATATGAATATTCAAAAGGAAAATGAAATATATTTTGTTATTCTTTCATGTGACATGATTATTACTTTTGATCTACAGTAACAAAAATAGCATGGATATATACACATGTAGGACTCGAAAGTGTGAAGGGAAGTCCGATGGTCACGACGAAGTCCGATGGTCTGCGACAAACCCTGGCGGTTTGACACGCCAAAGTCCGATGGTGCGGAAAAACAATTATCGCAAATCTTGCTTGAAAGTATACACTACAAGCGAAATAGTGATGCGTTGAGTGACAACACTAATGAATCTGACTGAAATACAATTGAATCTGAGTGAATAACAATTGAGAAATCCAACAAAGAATCCGATTGGTTCATTATTATAGGTCCGCCCACTATCTCAAATGTATTGCCGAAAACGTGGAAAGTGTTTTGAAAACGGACAAAAAGTTGTGTTTATATATACTGAGCTAGATACCGACTTTTGGTGAACAAGCGGGACGATGGAATACTTTGTTAAATGATCCTGAGTGCTGGTAAACTGTAAAATGGTCCTGCAATGAAATCTGTGCCAGGAGTTTCAAGTTGATTTTCTGCGATCGAAAAACACGACCGTTTTCCCACAATTTTCTTCTTCAGTACATCAATAAAATTAAAAGAACTTAGATTCCGTGAATTCCGTTAGATTCCGTGAATACTAATTAGTCTGTAATGAATATAAATAATATTTGCTGTAACAATTGCACTGAAAAACACATGGATTTCGATTTTCTGGTCGCTTGTTTATTTACATGACGGCTGGTAAAACAGAAATACAGTTACAAACACACACTGAAACTCGATAGTCGTGGCAATAAACCATTTGAATAATTCATAATATAAATAAAATATTATAAAAATATATAAAATAAAAGAAAATAAATGTTTCACATTGCGTTTAATCGACTATGAATATGTTTTCGGTATCAGCTGGGTATAATTTACAATAATACCTGGGTTTTTCATTTTCTTGGGTTTGCCTACCCAGTGTAATAATTTACTTGTTTACAAACACTAAGGACTAAAACTTAACAGGGATATGTCCCTGAACTTAGAGAAAGAGATTTTTAGTACACTGAAAAGTTGCACAAACTATTCAATTTAAGAACTGTTTAACGAACACCGAAAATGAAAAATGTCGTCAATTTATTGCCGAGAAATACATGTATAGTAGGATAAACAATATGGATGTACATGTAACGTCTGTGAAAAGAATATCACATGCTGAAATATGATTTTATGGTTTGATTCTTTTTTTTTCTAATCAAAAAGTCAACCAAGTTTTCGCCGATCAACTGATCAAACATGGTAGGCCGTTAGACTCTTCAAACTATATATATAGGCAAAGGATACCACACGAGAGTGGGCGGGCCCAAATCAACCAATTAAAACGCATGCTTTATAGAATGGATTGCCGTAATTCAATTGTTCAATTGTCAAATCCAACAGTGTCATCTCTCAACGCATCGCTATTTTGGTCGTAGTGTATACTTTCAAGCGAGATTTGCGATCACATTTGTGACGTTATAGTACTACTGTGCCAAATTGCGATGCCGCACCATGCTAAGATCTAAATAAATACAAATAATTTTTTTATGTCAGGACTAACCGTTATCTCTCGGAGAGGTGCAAGCTTAAGACTAACCCTAATCGGTCGAAAAGTGTGTAAGAACTATAACCTAGATATCTTGGGTGGGTGCGAGACCAGCCCTAATAAGTCGAATAGTATGCGAGGACTAACCCTTAATCTCTCAGGTTTATGCGAAACTATCCTATAATCAGTCCAAAAGTGTGCAAGGACTAACCCTGGTAAGCGAGGACTAACCCATTTATCTCTGGTGGGTGCAAGCAATAAGCAAAATCAGTGAACTTGTATGTAAGGACGAATACTGAATTGATGGCTTTTGAATGCAAGACAACGGCGTCAAGGATTGACGTTGGAATATTGTGACGTCATAAACGTTGATTGTTTCTCCACACCAACGGACTTTGGCGTGTCAGACCATCACACTCTAGCGCAACGCGTCTCATGGGAAACGAGCCATCGGACTTTGGCGTGACCATCGGACTTTGGAGTCTTACATATACACACATTGTTTGGAGAATTTAAAGGTGTTGTTTTAGAATGCAAACGTAGTTTGTGTGACTTAATTTAATTGCTGATTAAGAGAATCTTAGGAATATTTTGTCTGAGTTGAAAAGAGCACGATAGTAAAGTTTATGAATAATTAGATTTGCAAATATTTCGTATTTTTCTTCAGCTGGCGATGGTGTTGCTTCTTCAGATTAAAAAACTGCATCCGTGGTATAATTCAATGGATTTTAAATTGTTTTCGAAAAATCAAGAGAACACCAAGGGCTGGAGAAATTGAAATATTGCAATCAAGGTACATTTGAAGGGGTTTTGTAATTCTTCCATATAATATGATATATATAATATGATCATCAATTATGATATAATAATTATAATAATATACAGTGACAATAAAGCATGGATAGACACCTTTTATCACCCTTTATTTGGTTTATCCCCCAAAAAAGTACAGATGTTTTGAGAATATTTTAAGCGACTAAAATGCTGATTAAGAAATCTTAAGAACCCTCTCTACACTGCACACTAAAGAGTTCTGATTCTATGGTATTTTTCTGCAGTTAGAGTGCTCTGCCCTTAGATTTAAATTCTAAAAAATAGAAATTTACAGTATATTACTCAATTTGTAATCAATCCAAGTATTCTTAACATTTTAAGGGCCAAGATAAATTAATTGAACATGTTATTTACATGTATTTTCTCTATGGAGGTAAACAACAGTGATTTCTATTCACTGATACTGTGTTTTGTTTGAACATTTTTCCTGGGGGTAAATGCCAGGTACCATATATATATATAGTGAAAATTAAATAGAAAAGTTCAATATTAACACCTTTATACAATATATTTTTCTCAATGTCCAAAATATATTTTTCACTGGTGTAGAGAGGGTCCTTAAGGATTGAAAATCCTTTCTTTTTTTAAGAACAAGGAACGGTTTCAGTACATATCTGGCCTTGCTTTTTTCTGAGATATGAAAGTGATGTAAGAAATTAAAACTCATGCCTTCTGAATCATTGAAATTCCATGCAGTAAGCTCATACAAATCTTTTTCTCACATGACCTCCTAAATGCTAATTGTAACGTCATGAACTCGTGCATTTTTCCCCGTATTTTCTTAAAAAGTTACAGAAGACATCATTTTTGCAGTGGAATTTTCTTTCAGATAATATAGACCACATGCATCGCTCATAAATATTTTGAAAAAATGTGATTTTTCAAAGAATTTTACACAACATATCCAAAATTATAATGGGCGACGACTGTGGACACTATTTTCTTAAGGAAAACAAGCTTGGACTGGGTCCTTTTGAGGCTTTTTCTGTTTTAAACAGAAAAAATATATCAAATTAATGACGTAATATTTCCAGAATGACCCTCCTTCATGCAATATTCTTTCATGATTTATCATAGTCATATACTCAACTCATATTTAGGCCAGTTTCAAAACTTTTTGAAAATATCAAATTTTTAGGGCACAATAAAGCCAAAACCGTACCTTCTTCTTTAAAAAAAAAAACTTGATGGTAAAGTTTATGAATGATTAGATTTGCATATATTTCATATTTTTCTTCAGAAGCCGATGGTGTTGCTTTGTCAGATTTAGAAGTTGGTTCTGTGGTGTAATTGAATGGATTTCAAATTGTTTTCGAAATATCAGTAGAGCACCAAAGGCTAAAGTAATTGACATATTGCAATCAAGGTACATTATTAGATTTTTTTTTTGTTTTAATTTTGACATCGCTCATTTACTACGATTTATCAAAAAATCGGTTATTTTTTTTTGCACATAAAAAATACCTCTATTTTCGACAAAATTGCGAACTCATGTGGATCATTGTTCATATTAGCATTTTGTACATTTTTGGCATGAAATGCAAAATTTATGCAAAAGACATTACTTGATAGCGAAAGTAGCAGAATTATCGAAGAGTATGTCGACTATTGTCTGATCCTAATTTTTGTCAGTGATTTTAACCTTTTATTAGCAAAACATGTTCTTTATATAGCTTATTCTCTGATTTGATCAATTTTACGAGCTACCGTGATTTTTTCAATGTTATCTTAATTTCAACTAATAATTCTCTCATTTATGCCTAGTTTTTTAAAAATGCTTTTGTTTTGTTATTTTTTGTTAATTTGTTAGAGTTTGATTTTGTTTTGTGTGTATTTATTAATTTTTTAAGGATGCTTTTAATGTCCCTGTGCCTTGATGAGCAATTAAAGTTATCAGTCGATAGAGTTGTAGAATTTGCATAGATGACACTATATACTCCATAAAACATTAGATTATTTCTATTAGTTTACATATAATTATTATAACAAAATTACTTATTACCTCCTTTTGTTTTTAATTAGATTACACGAGTGTGAAAAGGAAGTTGAAAAGCAGAAACGGTTAAATGAAGATTTGGTAGCAAAGTGAGATTTATGCAAATCCTGTGTATTTAAATATCTATAATTATAATTGGAATGAAATTTCTTTCATTTCCTTTTAGAGTTTTAACTTGTAACGTCCTTAACGGCTACTTTTCTCTCGTTTGATTATAGAAATCAGCATTTAACCCATGATATGCAGGTGCTAAAAACTGAAAAAGACCAGTAAGTTCCGATTAAGTGTATTTCTTACCCAGGAGAAATATTAATTTCTTATAGCTTATCAAATTTGTACATACATGTACCACATGCTTCCATGTCGATAAGTTGGCTGTTATGATAATTTTTTTGACATTTTTTTATTTAAAGGCTGGAAAGAAAAGTTTCTGATCTCCAAAAAAGGTAGTACTAATAACATATATATATATATATATATATATATATATATATATATATATATATATATATATATATATATATATATATATATATATATATATATATATATATATATATATATATTATAAGAGATATTCTATTCCTTGCCTAGCTTTATTGTATTGTGTATGGGTTTTTAGCAGACCTTTTTTGTATTCATATGAAGCAGAATTTGTCCAAAATCTTATACATGAAAAGAAGAAAACACTTGCTGTGGCCTTCAACTCGACATTTAGATATATCAACGACGTATTGTCAATTAACAATGGATATTTCCATTCTTATGTCGATACGATATATCCAGGTGAGCTTGAGAAAAAAGATACCACAGAGTCTGACACATATGTGTCATATTTAGATAGTTTACTTGAAAAAGACGTTAATGGTAATCTAACAACCAAGCTTTATGATAAACGTGATGACTTTAACTTTTCAATCGTCAACTTCCCTTACTTATTCAGCAATGAGCAATATACCTTCATCACCTGCATACGGGGGTTTATATCTCTCAGTTAATTCAATACGCAAGAGCATGCTCTACGTATGTACAATTTCTAAAACGAGGTAAGTTATTGACAAACAAGTTGATGAAACAAAAATATCAGCAGTCTCGTTGAAAGTCATCATTTTGTAAGTTCTGTGGTCGAAACAATGACCTTGTCAGCAAATACAATTTATCATTGAATCAAATGCTGACTGACGTTTTTCATACTAATTGTTAGGCCATTATTTACACACTGAATTGTCGACGGATTTTTCCTTTATTTCCCGATCATGACAAGGAGCACACGGCGGGTGTGACAGGTCGACAGGGGATGCTCACTCCTCCATGGCACCTGAGCCCACCTCTGATGTTTTGGAGGACTTTTGATCTTGAATACTGCTCGTTATCTCCATATATTTCATGTACATCTATATTTTAATGTTGTACCTTTAAAATGTATATTTTCTTACAGCTTAGCTATGGAAAAAAGAAACTTTGAAGAGGAAAAAAAGGAGAAAGAGAAAGCACTTACAAGGTTATTTTTTTTTTATCTTATTTATGTACTATTAAAAAACATATTTCCTAATTTTTTTGTTTTTTGTTTTGTTTTTGTTTTTTGTTTTTGCAAATAATTATGTTTTCTAATAAAATCATGATGAAATGAAAAATGAAAAAGTATCTTTCAAGCAAGCTAATTTGATTTTTTTCTCAAATATAATAATAAATTAATAGTATACATCAGAATACATTTGAGAAAAATGAATAAGTTTGAATAGTAATTTGAAATATTACAGATTAAGTGCCGTAGCTGGGGATAAACTGAGAGTCAATAACCCAGGGATAGCTGATTTGTCTGATGAGAACCGACCAAACAAACTGGCAGAAAAATTCAGTGAACTGTACGACAACGAATGGACTGAATTGTACGAAGTTTTAGAAGAGAGTGGACAAACGGAAGAGGACATCATTGGGAACTTGCTGCAAATATTGCAGGTAACAGAATTTTTCTTAAATCTATATTTGTGAGTGGTAAAACGCTTCCATCATATAAATGTGAAAGAGTATAGCATTGCAAATGTTCAAATTTGTTTGATTTGATAATTTGTTTCATTTGTAGGAGACTTACAACTCTAGTAACAATCTTGCGGAAAATCAACGCAGAGAATTAAAAAAAGTAATTTTACATCCTGCAAACGTAGGGTCAAGGGAGGTAAGTCAGTCATAAAATTGTGTAGTTGAATCAAAATCAAGTTAAAAAATAAGGGACAGAAATACATTTTAGTTGGAATTTCAACTCTTTTAAAAACAAGATATTTAGAAAATGAATTATGTTGTAGGACATCAAACCTCCAGAGGGAATATTGTCTAAAATCACTGATATTCAGAAACAGACAGCATCAATTGTTTTTGGAGATGTCAGAAAAGAAATTGTAAGCCCTTTATTCTCTTTTGATTATTTTTGGAATAACATTTTCTTTACAAGATGCATAATTAGATCTAGAGAGACTGGTTCTCTAGGTAATTAAAATTTTGGGGGAGATTTAAATCTTTAAAATACTTATCATATTTTGCTATAACATGATTAGCCCTTTCTGCCATAAATATTTTTACGTGTGTGCTATTGTAGATGGAGAGCAATAAACTCATCTCCGATGGAATGAATGAAGTGAAGAGAAAATACGTAGAAAGATGTATTCAGCTGTGTTGGATGATGGCTATCCAGGACCCCCCGATGCATTTGGATTTTGGACCTTCAGCGAATTCAGAGGCTGACAAAAACGTGTACAGAATGTATACTAAACAAGGAGACAAAGTAGATTTTGTTGTGTGGCCTGCTGTATTTCTTCATAACCAAGGACCCTTAGTCCAGAAAGGTGTACTACAGCCAAAGTAAAACTAAACATGTAGCCACAATCATTCAATGTTCAAGCATTTGTAGCAATCTAGATTTCAATATGCCTGTTATATAAGTACATAATATATATATTCACTTTTCATGTGTAGAACTTCATCCTCTAAAACTGTTATACATAATTATGCATTAATATTTGTTACATAATTCCTATTTTCTCTTGAAAGGGGATATAATCAAGAAAATACCAGAAAGATACGCTGGTTGTCTTAAAATTTCTTTTCAAGTACCAGTTGGTAAGAAAGGATGAACCTTATGTGAAAGGCTCCTGAAATTTAAGTTTGTTCAAATTATGATCCCTATGGCTAGGCATTGTCCACAATAAAATATCAAAGTTTTTCATGAGAATATGTAGGGAAAATCTTTAAAAATCTCCTTCTCAGTAACAGCGATACCTTTATTAGTCTTATAAATATTTACAAGCATCCTCAAAAGTGCCAATTTAACTTTGATCTTATGGCCCCCGGGTTGAGTGGGGCCACAGTTGGAGATCGAAGCTGATTGGAATATATGGGTGAAAGTCTCTCCACTGTTCTTAAGTTCTCAAGAACAGTGGCGCCAGGATTAGTGATATTAATATGCAAGCATCCTTGGATGTTGCAAATTCTTTTTTCAAATTTTATCCATTCCGTGCCACTCTTTTTAAAAATCTTCTTTCTAATATCAGTAAGGCTGAAGTTAGTGTTATCAATAAGCAAGCATCAACAGGTAGCGAAGATTCACGTTTGTTCACATCATGGCTCTAAAGAGTAGGAGGGACCTAATATAGAATTAATGTTTCGCAAAATATAATACATGTACCTGGGAAGCATTTTAAAGATCTTTTTTTCAAGAACAAGACCTGATTATTAGATATATAAATATGCAAAAATCATAAGGTAATGGAGATTCAAGATTGTTCGCATCAGGCATTGGATAGAAGCTGAATGAGAAGGTATCTTGAAAATTAGAATAACCTTAACAAGATCAGAGTTGCAGAATGAATATGCAAACAATTCCATGTAGTGTGGATTTATTTTTAATTTTCGGGTTAGGTAGGATTAAAATCGGGGATCAAATTTTACCTAATGCATGTACACAGGATAAAAATCTCCTTCTCAATAACAATAAGGTATAGATAAGTTAGAATTTTAAAAAAAAGTATCCTCAGGAAGTGCCAATTCAATTTTGCTCATAACATGGTTCCCGAGTTGAATTGGTCCATAAAAGGAGATCAAAAGTAATTAGAATATATCTGTTAAAATGAATATTGTTTAATATCTTCTGGAGCAAACAGCGCCAAGATATTCAAGTACCTGGGGTAGTGAAGATTTTTTTGTTTCAAATTATAACCCCTGAGTATATGGTGGTGCCACACTAAAGGATTAAATTATTGTCATGGAAGTCTTTTTTAAAGCCAAAACTACTTAAGAGGGCTGGGTGGTTGTGGCCATTTTCAGACTATATTGATCTCCTTTAGAAGAAGAGTTCCATATAAAGATATACAAAAATGATCAAATTTTAAAACTAAAATGTATGAATTTTTTGTTTGCCAAATGATAGTTGACAGCTTAAGATATCTTATCTAAAAATTCAAGTTATATCTGATTAAGTTATATCTGGATATTTGTTGACCCCCCAGCTTCCTTAAGAACTAAGCATCAGGTAGCGCAGAATCAAGGTTGTTTACACCATGAAGGTACCAAATAGGGGATCAGTGTTTCGCATGAGACAATACATAAAACAGAAATTAAAATCTCCCTTTCAAGAACAAGGCCTGATTAGTGATATAAATTCTTACGTATGCAAACAGTGTAAGGTAATGGATATTTAAGTTTGTTCAAATGAAGGCACGAATGGGTTCAAAGCTTAAAATATATATAGATATCTTGGAATTTAGTGATCAGAGTAGGAGTAAGTTAAATCGCATTGGACTTTTGTGGAAAGCGCTGACTTTTATAGTTTACCGCTTACTTTGACAAATAAATCTGCGTTATGTACGGAGGTACGAAATTCATAATAAATAAGAAAAACTTAATATCGATTAAAGGTATGGTGTTAGGGGCGCTAACATGATTTATCAGTTGAGATGAGGGGTACTATATCCTTCCAGTTTCATCTTCAAAAAGAATCACGATAGCTCAGTCGGTAGAGCGCTCGCTCCGTGATCGGAAGGTAGTGTGTTCGAATCACGGCCGCGACTGACCCAAGTCGATAAAAAATATAGGTAGCAACTGTTCCTTCGCCAAGCGATCGGCACTTTTAAGTGAAAGTTGTGGTTCGGATGAGACCTTAAAAAACCGAGGCCCCGTGTCACGGTAGGCGTTGGCACAATAAAGAACCCTCACTGCTCAAGGAGTGCCGAGTAAAGGTCTAAATTTGAAGCCCTTCACCGGTACATTGTATATGGTCACGTCTCTATAAGGGTGAAAATTTCTCGAATGGGACCTAAATCAACATACAATCAATCAGAAAGAATCAAATAAGGAAGGAAAAACATCCCGTTAGGAAAACCTGGTAGGAATTGCTGAAAATGGGAAGAGAGGGGGTTGAGGATAGGGTGATTGCCGTTCTCTTCCTAGACAACGTTATCTGTGCTTTGAAATGGTCCATTATTATCTTCTGATTAACTGTTAAGCTAAATATTTCTATCGAAAAATAGTTTCATTATAATATCTCAGGGTAAAAGTATGCGTCGACTATAAAAGTGAGTGCTTCTCGTTAAGGTCTAGTACAACATTCTCAAGCTGTGAGGATTTTTTTTCAACAATGGACTCTGGGGTTCAAATTTTATACTTACAAGTATATAGGAAAGATCTTTATAAGAACAACAAGGCCATGTTAGTTGGTTTTGATATTTAAGCAACCCCCATGTCACGCGAATATCCAAATTAAATCATAATGAAATAAATAATGTGTGAGGCAACAATATGGGATCAATTTTTTTTCATAGGAATAAAGAGAGGGAAATAAACAGAAATCTTTAAAAATATCTTTGAAACGTTATCTAATTCCTAAAAATAATGAAAGTTAAAATTATATGTCTTTCATTTGGTTCTTTGCATTTGGAAAATAAGTTGAGTTACATTTAGAAAAAAATGATGTCGTGTTGTTTTACGAATATATATTTATTCCACAGCGTGCACAAAAGGACATAGAATTTCTTATGCATGTATGTACATTGTAATTATATGTGTGTGTCCTCTAGAATTATTGTAATTACAACTCAATTTTTAATAATTATCGAGGAATGAGTTCACAGAATTGACATCACCCTGAGATGTTTCAAAATTTCATTGATATTTAAATGTTCTTATGAAATACATGTATTGTGTTGACTTTGTGTGTATATTTTAATAATATGGTAAACATAATTTATCTGCAGATCATGCACATATTGAAAGTGAAAGAGTTAGCGGAGCAACATGTGAAGCCGAGTGTATGGTTGCTTTAAGTGAGATTCAAATACAATCTGGAGTATTTCATTCCAATTTAAATTTCCATATTCAAGTGCAAGTTTCTGTGTACATTTCTTTTACTATTTATTGAACAGTACGAAGTGTGTTTTTCTTCAGTTTGAAATATTGTCAAAAGTGATTTTTTTTTTGGGGGGGGGGGGCAATAACGTATCTGTAACCTTCCAATAAGGTTTGAATATTGAACATTATAATTTCTCATAATGGATAGATTTTATAATATATACTTGACAGTTACAGATAGTATTGTACTGTATTGAGCTTTTCGTGAAATAAAGAGTATTAAAAAAAGATGACTTTATACAAATGTTTTAATTTCTTTTCAGCAAAGTTGAATAAAGAAAGACAATCAGTGTCATATTCTTTTCATAGAGATAAATTTCCAATCTTAACAAGTAGCATAAGGCGGGTGCGACCTCTCTGCAGGGAAGGCTTATTCCTCCGTGGTACCTGATCCCACCTCTGTTTTCAGAGGTTGACTCAGTTTACAATTTGCATCGTTTAAATGCACTTCTGAAAATGATTACTGTTCCTTACCTTCACATTTTATATATAATTATAATAAATTTTTAAAAGTGGAAATACTATTTTGTATCAGATTTTGAAACATGTCTTAAATGCCATGTTGCAGAAAGATTGATTGATTGTATGTTGTTTTACGTACCCTTCGAGAATTTTCACTCCTGTAAAGACGTCAACATATATCGTTGAAGGGCATCAAATTAAGACCTTTACTTGGTGTGATCCCATTCGCCTTAACTGTGAAATACAGATAAGAAAATTTCTTAAAAAGTACTAATGGGAATTTCTTAATAATACTTTTGTTAATACAAACCTTGAAAATTGATGAGGTGTTTTTACATTGATTAGTTAATTACACAGTATTTTGGATTTAAAATGATTCTTTAGTCAATGTACATGTACATTTGAAAATAAAAAGTATATTCAACTTAAAACGGGAATTAATTTATGAATACTGTGAATGAAATAATTTTGTTTTTTATATATATTTTATAAAAATAATGATTTCTTTATTGTAAAATGTTTATATAATTGTTTATCACTATTAGCATATTATCTTAAAATAAATAAAATTAATATAAAATGCTAATAAATAATATTTAAAATAAAACTTTATAATCTCTACCTCCACAAGAGTTTCACAGAATTACTAATACTTTAAGTTAAGATTCATAAAAATACTGCTACACAAACAATATTTAGACTTAATTAGATGTTTATACAAGTTCCCATTTCGCCTTAATTCACCTTAGAGCTTACTATGGCGAAATGGGAATACCAATTTTCGCGAAAAGGGAACAAACCCTTTACTTGGCACACACGGCCATTGAGCAGTGATCGAAGGATCTTTATTGTGCCAAATCTATCGTGACACGGGGACTCGGTTTCAAAATCATCATCCAAGACTTCAAAGTGCCGAGCGCTTGGCAAAGCAACATTCGCTGCATGTACCTATTATTTTATCGACTTAGGTCATTAGACACTTGGGTTTGAATCCACGACCTTCTGATCAAGGAGGGAGTGCTCTATCGACTGAGCTAACGAAAAAGAAGAAGATATAAATCAAAAACTAAATAAAACAAACAATAAATATGCATTGAAGAATGCATGTAACACCTTGTCCTGAAATAAAGATTTCGTCATTTTTGTTAAGTAAATAAACATAAACTGAGCACTGTAACCTCTGTTTGCTATCATTCTCGTATTTAGATATGTAAATACACAATCATTGACGGATTTAAATTTTATCTATATAGTTACACTCGATTAACGTGAAAGCTGAATCTAGGTCAAATTTTCTGGTCACGTGAAATAATCTAAAACATTAAAAAATTAGACGAAACGAAACTAGATTTTCCATCTTTTTAGTTCCTACCTTAGACAAGGCTTTAGATAAAATGGAAGAAGACTGGTATGTAAACTTTTGTCTTTATTTATGTATTAAACACTATGCTACCTTGTATTATCTAGAGTTATAAGTATTTACACCGTTTTAACTAACATCATATAAAAATAATGCAACTAAAAAAAGATGCGCATTGTTTTGAAAGATCAATTTACATCTAAGTATATATCTTTATTCACATTAAACAGAATAATCAAACGTTCAAACCAAAATTTAAAACTTAGAATGAGGATTTTTTTTTTAATGCCCCTTTGAGAATTCAGTTCATATGAAGCAATTACTTTATATACTAAGTATTCCAGTGCAATTTTTCATGTTTCATCAAATATATTAACATTACAACAGATATTTTTTTTTTACATCAATGTATTCATTTAGTTGTGGAATGTATGAATCCATATTTAAAAGTCATCAAAAAAAAATTCCCATGCTTTTCATTTAATACTAATAAGTATATTAATTCTGCAAGTATTAATTTATTATGCCGATATCGAGACATACGTTTATGATTTATGTAATTTGTAAAAGATGCACATTCATTTGTCCAGAAAGCTACAAAAAATTATTCTATTTGTATAAAGAATTCGACATAACATGCATTTATTGCATCTCTACTTCACCTTTTTTTAAGGGTTCTCATCGACAGCGATCCGCAAAAATTTTTTGAGATGATGATAGAAACGCTACATGACAAACTTGTTCAGATTAAGGACAAAATTCAAGATTATTCTCCCGAAGACTTGGACAAATGTGAGCAGTGGGTAATACTAATTAACGTTCCTTGTACCATGAGTGACATCAACTCTGAATATGTACCCACACAACTCAAAGAAAAGACTGAAAGTGTGTTTGATTTACTGGAATCGCTACAAAAGTTAGTATCTTTTGCGATATAGAAAAACAGTAACGTTTTTAGTCCAAGGCCTGAGATTCATGAACATAATTAGAAAGATATTTATGTTAAAACCTCACTGGCAGTTCAAGGCAACATAGCAGCTCTGTTTGTTTCCACAAATCATATAATAAGTTAAGTGTAAAGAACTTGTCATTTATTTAAATGACGAGAAAATGTAAGTTAACCATAAAATAAATACAAAGGAATTTGTCTGCTAGACATGCCAGCATCAAGGAAAGATTGTTGACATATAAACTGTTTTTGACTAGAAATGCAAGTCAATAAATTATTACACAACACAGTGGTCTCCCAGCCACAATATTGTTAAACACACATTTATGATAATGCGATATAATACATCAATCTTTATTGGAAACAAACGTGATGCTTAAAAAATACCAGAAAAATTTTAAATTTAAAGTGTGATAGATGGAATGGAGATGGAGGTTGCTCTTTCGACAGTATTAAAATAAGATGCCTTGCGCGGCAATCGAATTGGCTGAGACAGATAAGGGCTCTGGCATACAATTGAGTCTACTGGTTTAAAAAAGGGGCCAGACTGATTATTTCAAGTTTGAAAATAAATATTTTGGTAGAATATAAAAAGGAAACAATGCATTCTGACATCAACAAAAGTTAAGTTACAAAATTTTATCATGAATTGTTTTACCTGAAAATAAACCTTATTTGAAATAATAGCATATTAAGGAAATATATTTAGCTCCATAGAGAAATACAAAAGACGAGGAAAAGTCCAAGTTGAACAGGAGGCAATTAAGAAGGAAATAAACAAGAACGAAAAACTACAATTTCGACTGGAACAGTTAGACCGGCAAATACAGCTGTTTAAAACGGAAGAAGAACGTCTAAAAGAAAAGGTTTCAACTCTTGAGCTACAAAAGGAAGGTCTACTTACCAGGTACTACAAATAAAAATACTAAGTAGATATCAGTATGAGTACTCAGCATAAAAAAGATATATATTGCATTGTCTATCAATATATAATGAAAATTTACTTGATCATTCCACTTTTCCTTAAAGATTAAGCCAAGTTGCGGGTCTAAAGGTGTACGACAACAATCCAAACATACAGGACTTATCAGATACTAAGAGACCAATGAAGCTAGCAGAGGCTTTTGGAGAACTGTACGACAATGAGTGGACCAACGCGTTGGACGAGCTACTGAATCAGAATGCAACAGAAAGAGTGGCTATTGATCAGCTAACAAATACTTTAAAAGTATCTTCACATAAAATTATATTTTGCCAAAATAAACTTCCGAATCTCTATTCCACCATGTGTCTCAACAAATCATTTATAGAAAAAACTATTTAGAAAACATTTTCCAAACAGAACAAAACCAATGTATCTATATGTTAAGGAAGTTATGCTTTAATAAGATATCATATGTTATGCCAGATTGAATCCAGGGTTAAACCATCATATAATTTGTTTGGTTATCATTATATGTCAGAAGGTGTCACTAATACATCGATTGAGGAACTAGGTAGAACTCAGTTAGACGGAGAGCGATAAATTATTCAGGAAGTTTAATTATAATTTTTGTGATGTATGCAACGGAATACATGTATATAATTCGATTTAGAGGGAAATAACGTAGCTGTGAGTTAAAAATATATAGCAATTAGTATCTGATTTGTTATGTGTAGGATGATAACCGACATAGGATAATGTGACAATGTTTGCATTAGCGGCCTCGCAAATTTTGCCAATTAGCACGTGCTCCCATATATCGGTGAACACCTCATTTATAAAAATATGAAATATTCGAAGGGTTCTTCATGTATAGAAAATCGTTTTAACGCTTATTTTTTTTTTCATCAATGCATTTTGCATTTACTTTTGATTCCATTTATTTTCACGAATATCAACGATACCTGTCGGTCTCTGGCACGGGATCAACGGAAACAGATCCTAAAGAGTTTATCATTTTGTGAAACAGTTTCTGATGATGGAGGAGAAGTAAGTTGTCCATAGTATAAGCATTCGACATGTTTACACTTATTCTTAAGTATGTCACCCATCAGATTTGATATAAGTTTAGTCAGAACTTCTATTATCAAAATATTCAATTACAAATGAATTTATTTAATTTTTTTAAATCTTTGAATTAAGCAATGTTTATTGTACAACATTCAATAAAAAATTCGCTCATAAAATCGGTAAGAGATAACCTAAAGGTTTGTGAGGGACTATTTCTTACGGTCGAAAGATATTAAAAAATAAAATAATATTCTAAAAATATACAGATTGGTTTTATTCAAATTATTAAAACTTTGGTCCTAAGTATTTTTACTCACTAAAATTTACACGCATTATTACATGTACATGTATATGCCATGAATATTCAATATAGGTTTCAAAATGATATTTTCAGAACAAAATTTACACATTTTCCAACATACTCTGCCAAAACATTGCAAGTATATTACAATTTAACCTGCCTTTTAGCCCTGAAGTATGCATAATCTGACCCATATCTCAAAATGTTCATCAATGGCCCCATTTTTTATTTCGTAATTTATCTCATTTTTTGAAAATACACGATGCCTCTAAGTGATCAGCACTTAATTCATAAAAACACTTCATATACATGTACGAAAATATTTTACCGAGTGTTCAGAATTTTAATACCCAAAATATGATATCTTATTAAAGCAGAAATGCCACGCAATAATTTCCGCGCATTAATTGTTAACATATCTTAAATAATATATAACTTTTTACGTGCATGAAATAAAAATATATTTATTGCCATTATTACACCTGAATAGATATGAATGCAATTATTATGAAAGTTACAATTTAAGTTTAAAATCGTGAAGTTTATTGTACTAATGCTCAATTATATGCTAATTGAACTTTTCTTGCCGATTTTGGTGTTATGCTTTATGAGTTAAACGTTGCAATTTAACATTACAAATTAAAAAATCTACGATATAACTGGTGTCAGGGGTGACATATCTTTTTAAATGCATTCTGTTCCTTCACAGTGCCTTCAGCAGTCCTTAAGAAAAGCGATGAAAACATTTCAGAAAGAAAATGCAATGGAAATTTACCAGTTTGTCAAAGAGGTAAACAACGTACGCTCTGTAAACATTTTTTTCTGGATAATGACATCCCTGTAATTTAATGTTCATTTTATAAAATTTTCCAATTTCAATATTTTTCATGAAAGCGAACAGATCGGCAAATTGGCATAGATAATCTCAGCACTGAGATGAAGAATTATGCTCACCGGTGTGCAGAGTTGTCGTGGCTAATGAACGTACAAGATCCGCCTCTCCTGCTTCACTTTAATGCAGCCGCTGGAGAACCGGTTGATAAACTGCTCTTCAGTCTTTATACCAGATCTGGAAATGTGGTGGACTATGTTGTGTGGCCTGCAGTAGTGTATGAAAACGGTGCTGTTTACCGGAAAGGTGTACTGCAGCCAATTTAAAAGAATATTACAAAATTAATGCTTATTACACAGTGATTTGTGGCTGTTATTTTATCGTGTGATAATTGTAAAAAAAAATATTTATAAAAAACATAAAATTCTTTCTGTGTACTATTAAAAACAAAATTCTCTCTGTTTAACAAAATGTATTTATAAATTGTCTCTCTTTTATATAAGACCAAGTTAACTATATTTACGCTTAAGAACTGAATGTTACATTGTACAGAACTTTTACCTGGGGACAAGCCTTGTTTCATGTTTATGTTTTTGTTATATTTTAAATAAAATATTTTAATCTTAAGTAAATATTATATATTTTTAAGCCTTTCTGAATTTAAAAAATAGCATGAGTGAGCTTTTCTTATCGAAATCCTTATGTATCATATTTATTCGCCGTTCTGTTTGTTTCACTTTTAACTTTTTTTATGTAGTGACTTCTTCATAACATTTGACCAATTTTTAACAAACTTCGCACAAAACATCTTAAGGTTTGTTTGTTTAACATCCCTTTCGATACTTTTTTCACTCATATTGAGACGTCACCACTAGCCGGTCGAGGGCTGCAAATTTTAGACATATAATCGGCACTAAGGACCATTGAGCAGTGAGGGATGTTTTTCATGCCAGCACCTACTGCGATATACGGGACCTCGGTTTGCATGGTTTCATCCAAATTACCGGTCTCCACGTCCCGCAATGGGATTCGAACCCGCGACATAATAATCAACTCCATACTTCGCGACTCTAAAGCAAACGATCTTCCCACTGTGCCATGCGGGCACATTCTGATGTAATTGGAATTAAAATATTCTGAAAAGGAAGATTTGCCCTCCTTTTCAAAGGGGAGAGGGTAAAAAAAGGATCACTTATCAAACTTCCTCCAAGTAGCACTAATACATATATAAAAACAAAAGAAGTAAATGCTTCCTTATTGAGGACTTTGAAATTTGTTTTAATCATAGCCCCAAGCACTAAAGAGATGCCATAAATAGAATTAGAATTTGACACAGGAATATTTCCTTTTGAAAATCAAAATCATCTTAATTAGTCTCATAAATGCATGTTTGTAAGCAAAATAATGGATTAAAGATTATGATTTATTGAGATCATTGCCAGTGTAAAGATGAATAATGACACTCCCCCCCCCCCCCCCCCCCCGGTAGAGTAATGACCGGGATCATTTGTTGACGTCGAAAAAAATGAATCCCGGTCATTACAAAAGTCAAGGTAACATGGCAAATAACATGGCAAATAAAAATGGTGATGCAAGTAATTTTAACCTAAACTGCTATAGTAGAACTTCTATGAAACCCAAAAAACCTCAAGGAATGGAGTCAGTAAAAGAACTTGATCATGCAGATATCCATATCTCGTCCCTAACTCGCAATTCACCCATGTGCTAAGTACATGTAACATTTTTTATTTCTGAATGTTCTCCTTTATCAGAGGAATGATAAATTTTGTATAAAGAAGAAACATCAAATTTGTTCAAACAACCATGTAATTTGTTAAGTTGTCCAAGCAAATATCCAGTTCGTCCGAACAATTTCGATCAAAAACAATTTAATCTACTTTATTCTAAATGTATATCAATTGTCTGAAGGAAGAACTTAATTGTCAACACAAATATCTTGTTCGTCCGAACCAAGAACAAACTTGTCAGAACTATTACCTTATTTGTTAGAACATATATCAAATAAGTCCGAACAATTGTATATTTTTCTGGGCTTCAACGGCACCATATCATTGTATGATGTTCCATATTTATAAAGTTAAGGCAAATATGGATTTTTGTTTTGTTAAAGTATTAAGAGTCTGAAATTACAAAATATATTACATGTACCTTTCAAAATAGAAAAAATGAAAAGAAAAAAAAATGTTAAAAAGGTCATTATAATGACCCAATAATTTTCGAATAGCTGACGTTGATTGAGAATTTTGAAAGCCCTTTAACATCATCTTATTTGTCAATATCTTGTCTCTGTATAAAAGTTGAGCATGTTCTAGCGTATCAAATAATTTGAGAGACGTAAACACCATATGCAGGCGATTTTGGAATAATACTAAATAAATAAATGTACGAAGCGATAGAAAGTCGATTTGATAGTCATTCCTTCGTCATAAAGAATTGTGAAGGTACATATTGTCGTTTTGTACATATTGTCGTCGACCGGCGACAATATGTATCTATCCTCGCTGCACATATTGTCGTCCATCGGTACATATTGTCGCCGGCTGAAAAGTTACACAGTACATATTGTCGCTGGCGTCATTATGTTCCTCACCCACACTGTACATATTGTCGCCCCACAGATATTTTTGCTTAAAGATTTCTTTTGGTCCTTTTTTTTTTTTTTTTTTTTGATTTTTTTTTTCTGCTTTGGTAAATTCTGTTTGTTTAACTTGTATATACTCTCAATTTAGTCAACAGGTAAAATTTCGTAATTAAATAATTTACTTAACATGTACAGTAACACATCTTTACAACCGCAACCCCCCCCCCCCCCCCCGATCCACCACTGAGAAGAACAGCAGTAGGCCCGTGATTAGTGGTGTTTATATGGAAGCATCCTCAGCTAGCGCAGATTCAAGTATCTTCATATCAAACCGGGCCTAGGGTGGGTCCACAATGGGCTATCAAACTTTTACATAGGAATATATGGGAAAATTTTTTAAGAATTATCTTCTCAAAAACAGCAAAGAATGATTAGTCATATATGGATTGATAATTATTGTTTAACGCCGAGTCGGCAATATTTTAGCCACATTTCGGCGATCAAATTAAGTGTATATGACAATTTCTGAAGTTTTTGGTTTCTCTGGCCATATTTATATGGAGCATTGCCGTGAATTGTCCTGCGACTGTTCTGATGTACGACAATATGCACAGTGAGAGTAAATACACATTGTCTCCGCCGACAATTTGAACAGGACGACAAAATGTACCGTCACAATCACGCTGCATTCAATAGCATACGAGATACGTCAGTGTGATTCATACACTAATTACATTCACAAAACTACTGCCGACGACAGTATGTACAAAACTACAATATGTAGTCACCCTCCCCTCCCCCCTCCCCATTTTATTCGTCTTTACACCGGCGGGTCAGAAGGAACACAGTAGGGAGTAAAAAGTTTACAGGGCTTAATCTTAAAATCTCAGGAAGAAAGTTATATTTATGTACCAGTATACCCATGTATCAAGGATTTAAATATGCTCAGAGGATTGCACTGCAAGGATGGGGTCACAATGGGGGTTTTTCAAGAGGTAATCTCTGTATTAAATACCATATTTAATTAGTTTAAATTAAAATTTTGATGTTGATTTAAATACATGCATATACACAAGCAAAATTGAATATTTTTAAAATGAAAATATACATATAGCCTTCCTTAGATTATATTTGAAACGATATGAGTGATTCTGTCTTCTAGGTTAAATAAAATACTCAGATACGCATAACTCATTCAACCAAAATATATCTTCAGTTTACCGGTATCTTCTTCCTTTGTTTCAAAAATGGCAACTGTTTCCGCAACTTTATCTGTTTCCTGTTTGTGTCCTTCAGCTACTTTACTTCCTTTTTATCTTCGACAATTTCTAATTCTAGCTGTCATTGAGTACAATAAAAAATTGTAATAAAAACAATATTTATAGCATATATAATTATAACAAATGATATCGTTCAAATAAAAGGGGTGCAATCGTGTACATGTGCTTCGATCAACACTGATACGTGGCTTTATATATCGTGTAAAAGATTTTAAAAATATCAAAAGAACTGTGTTTCTTACAATATTCTCTGGTTCATAGAATAAAAGTCTTTCTTTTTAAAATCCAGATCTGTAATGCAATTTTTTGATTCCTATTTAAACATTTATGCAGTTAGCGAATGTTAAATAGCCAACTGTTTTGAAAAAGGAAGTTTAATTCCTTGCCAAAAAATTAAATTTAACTTATCGTATATATTCGTACATGTATACACACATCTTAGTAAGAAGAAACCTCGGAGTAGATAAAAATGTGTTTACTTTATCTCTCGAGATAAATTGGAAGACAGATTACATCCTAATCATTGCCATGTTTTGATGTGGACAGGTTTGTTTTTGTTTTTGTTTTATATGTATTAAAATTTTTTAAAAGGATTATTGTGCACAAAGTGTATCAGTTCTTTTTTTTTATCATTATTTAAATGTTTATTTTTATTATATCTGACGCAAATTCCTAGTGTATTTTATTGAAAATGAAAGTAGACAAACATTTTGAATATACCTTATACAGATGTATATATTTAATTTTTCCAGAGTCATTTTAAAGTATGTCCAACTTATTCAAAACTAAAAAGAAAGAAGTTTCGAGTGGAACAATTAAAGGAATTCAGGCTTTAGATGGTCAATACAAAAAATTTGACGAGAACATTGGACCAGATAGTCCAGGTTTGAAGCTAGTTCATGAAACTGACAATGAAGTTAACAACTTTACCGAGGTAAACGATGGAAAATTTGTCCCACTTTTGGTCAAAGAAGAAGATTGTAGTTTACCCACAAATGACACAAAAAGTAAGGTAATCAGAACCGGTCAATCAAATCCAACAAACACGTTTGTTAAAAGACAAGAAAGTGTGGAAAATACTCCAAACAGCAATGAAGATAACAATGTGGCGAAAAACATTATTTTGAATCCGGAGAATTGTAAGAACAAAGAATATGATTCATGCAGTCAGGATGAAGAAACTCTTTGCAAAAACTGTAAAATGAAAGTGACAAATGCCGGAGGAAGAGTTTTCACAGATATTTCAACGCAGTGTGAAGATAATATTGAAGATTTCCAGAGAGAGCTACAGCCTTCCTGTAAAGGTGGAGGAAGATCAGAAAATAGGGAAGTTAAGACTGATGAGCAGAGGGAGTGAGTGATGTTCTAGTGATTACTATAACCTTTTCTATGTGATGAGATGTGCCAGAATGATAAAAATTATTTATAACCTGACATAATATCAAGGTTTAAAATCGATCTTCCATTATGTTTGTTTATAAAATGCTTAATGCTTATTTAGTCACCTGATCTAAGTTTTATAAATACAGGAATAGTTAATTACACAAAAAGTACACTAATTTATTTTCTTTTTAATCCCTTTGTCCCTTACATTCCTGGTATTTTTCTTTTGTAAGGTTGCACGAAATAGAATCATTATTTGATACACTACAAACCTGCTACAAAAAATTCACTGGAAAAGACAACGTATTAGATTCCAATGCGCAATTTTACGACAACGTTCACGATAATATAAGGGACGCGCTTTTAAAGATATATGAAATCATGGAATATGCTGAAAAGGCTAAAAAGCAACATGCAAAGGACGTGTAAGGATGGGAGGTTTTTTTTATTAACCCTTAGAGGTATACTAATTATTCGTTCTTATTTGCATACAGTGCAACTAAATAATGATCTATATATTATTTTCCTAGGAAAAAGGCTTCTCAAACTGGGAACAATGGAAGAGTGGAGAATATTCAAGGAAGTGCATATGATAGTACAGTATCTGATATGTACGCTAAGTTTGAGCAGCAGAAAAAAGAAATATCTGATGCTACAGCACAGAATCAAGCACTGATGTCAACCTTGCAGGAACATACAAGGCTGCACCGAGAACTCGAACTCAAAGTTACCAATCTTCAACAAGAAAAAGAATCTCTGCTTACCAGGTATTGACATAAAAATCTTTTGAGTATCCTCACCTTTAAACATAAAAACAATAAGTACAACATCGGAATATTGTACACATTTATCTAACATAGTGATATTTCGTTCTTGAGGATACTATTAAATCATTTCTAAAATTGATGGCTCGAAACGCCCGCATCTTCGATGATCTTTTTGTTCCCTTGTGTTCAAAGTACCGAGGCTTTTTTTATCCTGTATTTTAATGCATAAGGAAGATGAATATTTAATTAAAAAAAAGAGCGTCCATAGCACTACCTGTAAAAATTTAAAAAAATATTTATTAAGAAGTAAGGTGCTTACAATAGTTTGCTACTGTAACAGTTTACTTTCGTTTTTCATAGAAAAAACTGTGAAACACGAAAATACTTGGAAGATCAACCAGTCCTACGTGGAATTTATCAAAATACAACTGTGACTTACCTGCATATATATTTCTTTCTAGATTAAGCACTATTGCGGGATCCCGACTAAGAGATGGGAACCCTTCCATCACAGACTTAAGTGATGACAACAGACCACTCAATGTAGCGGAGAGGTTCTCAGAGCTCTATGACAACGAATGGTCAGATGCCTTCGAGAAATTGACCGTTGGTAGAAGTGAAGAGGAAACGGTCCAGATATTGCTGGACCTTCTACAGGTTACAAAAATTAATGAAAACCACGACTTCTTGTCTAAACTTTCTACGTTTACACTTCTTATTGGATTTGTATTTTGTAGTTTTATTTTGCTACCTAACAATATCGTGTTTATTTTATTAAACGATTAATATATAACTACATTTTACGTTGTTTCACTGATTGAAAAACATGGAGAACACAAATGTATGAAAATGCTATGCTTGTAATTTTTTGCTCTATTTTGATTTAGAATATTTATACCAGCTGTGAAATAATAAGCGAACAACAGCGGCATCATTTGGGGCAGTTTGGAATATACTTTGACGACGAGGTATTGATATCAGTCTTAAAAAAAATAAATAAATGATTGCCATCCCTTTTTAGCATAATTTTTGAACTATTTTTTTTTAACTTCTTGCCATCATACAAACATGTAGGTAGATCCTACAGATGTGACTGCTGAACAAGGACAAAAATCGAAGGAAATGCAATTGATGTGTGGAACCGTCTCTGTTGGTCGAGTTCAAAAGGTATATTTGATTAATTTTGCATAATTAAGTTCTTAATTTTCTCGATTGTATCAGTTTGTTTACAAATATTGACCTTTCGCTTAATTTAACGAAATTCATCTAGAAAAATTCAATACTAAATCAGCAGTGAGATAAATCAATGTCGATTTACCCTAGAGAAACATACACCATTTGCCATTGAACTCCCACGTTTTTATCAATATTACAATGTAATTAATCGTTTGTTTCTACACTAATAAGTAAAGCATTGCTAAAATCCCCATGAAGAAGCCATTATTAACTTATTCAGTATGACCATATTTAGAATTTAATGATAAATGTCTTAATGATATTATTTTTTTTTAATGATGCATGTTATCTGCTATTTTAAATGATCTTTGTTCTGTTCATAAACTTATAAATTTCGAAAAGCTAGCAATAATGTCGGTATATCTTTTTGATGGCCGAGAATTCTTAGTTTTTAAATGAATAAACTTATTAAAGACTACAAATGTATAAATTATTTGACAGAAAATCAAAACCGACAATGAATTTCAAACCAAATATGGCGAATATATTGACAGCTGTGAAATTTACATAAAAGCATCTATTAACATTTGTTGGATGATGAAAATGCAAGAAGTACCCATGTTCTTGGATTTTACCTGCCAGAGGGAAGGTCCTTTGAATAAAGATTTTTACAAGGAGTACACAAAGAGTGGAAAATTATGTGATTACTTGGTATGGCCTCTTCTCCTTCTTCATAAAGATGGACCGGTCATGCAAAAAGGCATTGTTCAACCTTTGTAAATAATCAAAACATTAAAAATTTAAGCATGTCAGTAGTTAAATTACACACGAGGGACGCGTTATTCAGATATTACATATAAAAGGTCTTTCCGATATTGTGATCAAGGATCTAATACGTAAGAAATACATGTATAATTCACAAATTCCATTCTTAGTTTTCCTTGTAAAAATAGACATGTTTATTAAATGGTTTGTTTATATTAAGATTATAATATTCAATAAATCTTATCATATTAGGTCAAAAATTATATCAAGAATTTATAGATGACATCTGCAATTTAAGATACTGGTATTGCACAGTGTCTCGAATTTTGAATACTTGGATAGTCTCGTCTTCTCGTATATTACATTTTTGCAATACATTGTATAAAACTAAATATTCATGTTCAATTTGGTTTTTGTAAAAAAACATAATCATAAATATAAGCTTTTCTTCAATGGACTGTCTTCTACATTTTTAAGAGATAATTTTAATTGATGAAGTACATTGTAGAGAGAAAGACGTTTGCTATCAGAGAGGTGAATTGAACGGTTCAATTAATGAACATGTTTAGAAAAAAACATAGCCATATTGTTCAGAAGTCGATATGTGGGCTTAACAGATTGTTAGGTACGCTAGACAGTAATCTAAGGATCTTTTGACACAATAAATTACGTTTGTATGTCTTGGTCATACGGAAATCTAATTGATCAAGAGCGAAGGAGGACGAGGGATGATACGTAGCTATAGGCTAAACACTTCAACTTCTTAATGGAATAGAGTTCCTATCTGTTAGCTATAGACTCGAAGACTGCCTGAAAGACCTGTCCTTCCTGTTTTCTCAGTGGTCCATTAATCTTTAAAGAAACTCTGCTTTCTTTTTTCAATGTAATTCTTTGCTATTTGTCACCTGAAACAGAATAAAGTATTTTTTCTCAGACACTAGCTCGTGAGCTCAATATTTAAACACTTTGGTCTGTTGGAAAATAAATAAATTCAGCATAAATCTACGTTCACAAATTACATTAGACTTTGTTAAGCTTCTACAGTGCCAGTGTTGAAAAGTTCTTCTCAGGCAAATCATGATCAAAATACGCATAGGTCTTGTCTTGACGGTCATTTGATTATCATGACTTTCTCAGGTATGACCACCCTGGAAGTGGAAGCCTGGTATCATGTGACAAAATTTCAAAAGCGTAGTAAGAACTCTCTAATCAGTATGAAAATAAAATATATGCCGCTTATCTTCTAAAGGGTTAAAAATAAACAAGATAACACAGAGAATATAGTAAATCTCGATATATATTAGCTCCAACCTTTGGCCTGAACGCTAGGACCAGAGGACATAATTTTACAATTTTGGTAAAGGTAATAGGTAATTGTTTATTTTAATCATGCCAATAGTTTGATTGCTTGTTGTCCATGAGAAAAAAAAAGTATTACCAAAGTTGTAATGTATTTTCAATATATGACCATCTTAGTTCCACTCAGCTGGGAAAATCTTAAATTTCACAATTTTGATAGAGGGCTAAGTGTTTATCATAATCATGAAAACAATTTCATTTTAAATTCCTATGAGAAGGATGATTTTAGAAATTTAAAGTTTTTAAAAATAAATATGACAATTAAGCCTCACTAAGGTTCATTAAGGTCCGACCCCCAGCCTGGAATCTGAATGAAATGAAGAGGCCATGAATTTCACCGTTTCGGAAAGGTTACTTGCTTATAATAATCATGTTTGCCTGCTATATGTCCAAGGGTTGATAAGAAAGTTGTTGCAGATTGCATTAATTTTAAATATAGAGTCCTACCCCTAAGTCCCCAGGAAAGTATACATGCATGTGGAATTTATGTGTAATGGGAAAATAAAATTTTGAATTTCATGATCCCTGCTTTCCTGGGGACTGAAGGTGGGACTCAGTATTTAAAATTTATGCAATCTACAACAAATCTCTGAATAGGTTCAGCGTTTCCGAAAAGGTGAGAGCATTTTAATTTTTATATCCATCAGGCGACGCACCACGCGTCTGTTCTATTTTTTTCTCTTTTTTTTTTTATAATTTTTTTTTTATTTTTTCAATTTTTTATCACTTAATTTATAGGACATTGTTGAAAATTCTTTTTTAAAAATTCAAACTTTATGAGACTAAACTTTTAACTTATATAAACATATTTGATTTTTTTTTTCATGAAGTTTATAGCAAGTAGCTTAAATGTGAAATACGATTTTTTAAGAATTCTTTAAAAATCTTTGCATTTCAAAGCTAGTAACCTTTGACTTTATTTTATAATGCTGCCAGTACTTGTAGCCTTAGTCTTTTCCTAAAAACTTTGGTTGTGGGTCTAAAGACACCGTCTCGGTCAACTTTTTACAATTGTATGAATTAAAACATGTCTGTATCACAGAAATTAAAACTGTGTGGCACGATCGCATAATTCGTATCCCTGAAACTCATTGACATTAACTGATCTACTCAGAAGATATTGTGATTCGGCGATACACTGTCTAGTCATAATAAACACTGTTGTGAAGAACAATCTTACATACCTCTCCGAACACACAGAGAGATTCCTAATCCAATATCATACGAACACGAGCATCCCTCATAAAACATTTCTGTTTACAAAGGAAGAGAAGGGGGGATAAAACAAATAAGTTTTCTCGGACGGAATCTACTTTTATTATTAAATCTTTGATCCGTTTCTCATAAAGTTGCATTCTTATGATCTGAAATGTTGTAATCTAAGTGACGGAAAACAAATATTATTCTTTGGAACAAATATTTGTAAATTAGCTTCTTCTATCTTCCGTCTTCTGGCTATCGAGTTTTGGCTTTGATTTCAATTCAAAAATATATGATATATATTTCTACATGGCGTCTGAATTCCAAAATCTTTGTTTCTTATAAAATGCAAAAAATACAGAAAATGGGTGTTGTCGAATGACGAAATGCAAAACAAATTGATGAAGACTGGAAGAAGTAAATATGATCCTGCAGCAATTATAATGGTCACCCAAGAAGTTAATTATTGAGAATGTTTTCTGAAAAAAATGTGCATTATCTACACAAATTTCAAAACATTTTCATTTCATGTGTTGCTTCTGAAAACGTGTAGACTTTTTGCGATTTTTAGGATCATTTTTGAAAAAAGGAGGAAAAGAAATTGATTACAAATAGTATAATTGATCTTTAAGCTTCCTTTAGAATATTTATAGGAGTCAATAAGAATGAATTATTAATGTGAGAAGCTGATATATTGTACGTCCATTGTACGCATTCTGGTCATCTAATGTTGGAATTACTGTTGAATGCCGACAGGGATTGACCAATCAAAATGAAACACCTTAAATGCTTAATTAGCGTACAACTTTCCTTCTCCCAATTAAACATCGGAGAACTGGGGATTGTTTTCTTAGATAGTGTTGGGAATCTTTCAAATCCACAGTGTAGCAATGTGAATTTTAACGATACCCAGAATAGTCATGAACATCGGTCTTACAATAAACCTATTATACACGATGTCTCTTTTGATTCATATTATATACCTTATGTAAATAAACAGTAAGGTCTTCATCATTTAATTACCAAACATTAACTCTACAGTGCCTATACAGGTATCGAATATCTAAAAACATAATACTCCAATGTATTCTGATGTTCTTCTTCACCCTACAACTATAGTCATGCTGGACACGATATTACTGGTGACGTAAATATAATGACAGAGTTAATAATGAGGACCTTAAATCACTTATCTTAAAAAGCCAAAATTTAGGGAACCCTGATCTTTCAACTGGGTCATACTGGGTCATAATTTTATAAATATTATGAATTATGTGGAAGATTACGCAATGCGATGGGCAAAACATGAAAAAAGACCTTGACACTGTACGAATGGATTTAAAGTATCAGATGGATGTTAAAATCTCGCATTAAGCGATTGAGGAGCATTATAAAAACATTTTTCTTTCTGCCTTCAATAATTCAGAAGTGAAAAAAGGAATTAGATGGATTACATGATCAATATGTACTGGTCCCAGCTGACAAAGCACGTAACAACATTGCTTTGTTTGTAAGGTTCATTATTTTAATTGTATTTTAGAGGAGCTGGGATTTAATTCTGCAAGTGGTAATCCAACTTATACCCATAGCTCCTTATCAAAGGAAGAAATTCTTCAAAATCATATTTCACTTCTACAAATGTTAATACCCAAAAATCAAATTGAATTTGAATTACCATACGAAAACTGGATTCCTAAAATACATAAAAATTCTTACATACAAAGATACATAGTGGGTTCCAGTCAATGTTCTACTAAGTCTCTTTCTTTACTCCTCACTCAAATATTGACAGCAGTGAAGAAGACACTTCAAGTGTACTGTACAACAATATACTCTAGAAATGTAAGTCAGATGTGGATACTTAAAAACTCCAAGGAACTTTAAGAAAATTGGAAATCACAAAATTTAACCAAAACAATTATTGCAAATTTTTTTGCTTGAAATATTCTGATTGTACACATAAGTATGCCGAAGTTGATATTGAAAAGCTTCTTGAGTTTGTGACTGACAATATCTATGTACTTTTGGGGAATCAGGTCCTCAAACAATCTGTTGGAATTCCGATGGTACCAATTGCGCCCCTTTTTTAGCAGACCTATTTTTATATTCATATGTTTCATAGTTGAAAATGATGATCTTTAAGCGATTGTATTTAAAAGGTCCTAAAAACATGGAGCCTCGATCTTTCAAATGGCGACAGAACTTCATTTCTATTATGAATTCTCTAGAAGATTATGGCAGAAGTTTGGCTAAATATGAAAAAGAAGATCTGAATACTTTATCAGAATAGATCAAATGTTTTAGAAATGTATAAATGAATCGTATAAGAAATTTAAAAGGCAATATGGGAACCATCTGTCCTTCGTTTTCACTGAATCGGAGGTGATCAAAGAATTAGAAAGACTTGTAAAAATATCTTCTTTGTTTCCAAGGGTCATTATTGTAATTGTATTTTAGAAGAAGTTGGTTTTAATTCTATCTTTAGGAATCCATCTTATACTCGCTGATTATATTCTTCAAAATCACATTTAAGTATTTAAAACTTCTAACATTTAAAACTTCTAACATTCCAGTCAAT